TTTGGGCTCAAGTGCACAGCGTGTGCTTTGGAAGCCTTGTGAATAGTGCCCAGTGTTCATTGCTCATAAAACTTGGCTTTGCCTTGGCACCCTGGCAAACTCAGAGCTAGCTTTCTAAACAATCTGCTGGTCTGTCAGCAGATTGGTGTGGGCAGGGAGGAGGTGCTATTGTAGCACTTGAGTTCTTGGAGTACTTGATTCTAGGCTTTTAATTTCAGCAACTTCTTCCTTCTCTCCTTTTCGCTCCACAGAACATACAACCTTGGGGGCCTTAGGCATTTCCACTTTCAGATTCTGCATACCAGGGTCTCCTCCAGCACCCAGCCGCAGACAGCTGTGGCCAGGCTGACGTTCAGCCCTGGGTCCCTGGCAATAAGCAGAGGGCATCAGGCCTTCCTCTGTGGGCACTGTCATACCCACCTTCACGAGGACACAATTTTCAGATACACACCTGCAAACAGACGGCAATAAACACAAAGAGGAGTTCGTGGTCCAGCACTGCGACCCAAGAAAGCTTGTCAACAACGATGAACCCGGCCTGTGGTGTGTTTGAGGTGTTGGCTGCACGTGCCGTGGGGTCAGAAGGCTGGCTGCTGGGCTGGGGCACTCTGTGGCACTGCTGCGTGTCAGACCTCGTTTCAGCAGCGGATAAGGAGATTTTCCAGATGAGGAGTTGAGGCACCTCACGGAGTTATGGTGCCAGATCTCTGAGGTATAGCGCTTTTTAGAAAGACAAATTTCTGGCCAGTTCCACAAAACAAGGCTCAGCTGCCTTGTCACAAGGTTAGGTGCTGCTACAGGTAGAGCAGTGCTGGGCAATACATAGATCTGAGTAAAAGGAATTCCAACAGTAGAAAGAAAACAGCATTGTTTGGTCTCATTCTTTACAAAAGCGCCTCCGTGGTGGCTATCGGGTCCTCTCGTGGCTAGAAGCAGGTTTCAGGAGGGTGCTTGCTCACTCCAGGATCGATTTCCAAATGCCAGAGAGGTCTGAGGAACTCCTGTTGTGAATTTGATATGAACCAAAGACCTGGTGAGGAAGGAAGGAGGAGAAAGCTGCATGGTCTGTACTCTAAAATGCAGCTTTGGAAAATTAATTTTGTAAGTACGTGAAAATCAGGTTCCCCTTGCCCGGCATAATTGAAGTTTTGTATCAGTTCTTTGCAGAAACTGCAGGTCTGTTTCATAACATGCAGTTGTCCTGCAGTATCCTTGCTGTAACAAAATTGATGTGGTACAGTGCTCTCACTTTTTTTATTTTTTCTCAATTGCCTTCTCTCCTTGGAGTGAAGACATTGTCTCAGGGATCTTGGCAATAAGTCACTGAAAAGCCATGCGGATGACAAAAAGGTGCGTTCTGTAAAAGGGGCCTCCAGCTGCCCGCTCTTTCAAGGTGAGCAGGGCCCTGAGCTGGTTTGGGGGGGAAATGAGCTTCAAACCTGATCAGCCTTGTAATGTCCCACCAGAACGTATCAAAACCAATGCTGCTGATGGTAAGAACGTGAATCTGTTTAACAGGTGTTCCACTAAAACTTCACACTTAAAATAATTAACTTGAGGAAAGAATGTTTCTTTTATATTCTGGGGGTGGTGTGTGGGGGGGAAGTTTGCATTACCAGTTTAGTATGGAATATATTCACTTTGCCTTTCAAAATGGTCACTGAAGGTTAGATTTCTAGATGTTTGGTTATTTTTATAATTTTCTGTATCTCTGGAAGTGTCCTTTCTTGCAAGTATTTATTTCTGGGTTGGAGTGTTCAGGGGCAGGGGGAACACTTGCAGCCTGTAGTAGGGCCAGCGATATTTTTATATGGCCATTGTGATTTTGGTGTAAGAGCTTTTTGGCTCTGTGTTTGATAACGTGTGATAAAGCAGCAGTAAGGTGCCCAAGCATTGCCTGGTGATATTCTGTAAAGTAAACTGCACGACTGGGTGATACCCTGTGCTGAGGAGTCAGGCAGCGTTCTGCTTCCCCCAGCGCTGGTGTGCTGCCTGCACACAGGTAACGGCAGCCTGGCAGCAGGGAGGAATCCATCTAGCCCCTGCCAAAACCTCTACGGGTGGAGTAAAGTTGTGGTGAGTTCAAAAAGAAACCGAAAAGCTGCAGAGTGAAGTGGAGCACAACCACACCTGCCTGGGTGCAGGTTTCTGTTACTGGTTGTGTGGACCAAGGACTTTGCTGTTGCTTTAGTTTGGTTTGAAAGATAGGGAAATTGGAGAAGCCTCCAACTTTAACTGTTCTTTTCTGGAGTACTCAATGGAAATGTACTTGATTTCTTTTAGTAACATTTGCTGTATTTTGTAATCATGTACAGATTTTTTTTTGCATGTAATTGTTTGAATTTTTGTATTTTGAATAGTTGGATTTACAAATAAAACATTGAGACTCCATCAAAGCTAACTGTTTTTAAAAGGAAATTTGGGGAGAATTGCTTCATAATGACTTACCCTACTGGACTAGATGTGATTATGAAAAGATAAATAAAACTCCTGCACGTACCCGACAGTGAAGACTGGGTGCAGATTTGTTCGTTATATTTTAAACCACTTGGTTTTTGAAGCCATTAGGAGCACTGCCCCAGCCTGTGTATTTTATTTGTGAGTCGGCTAGGCGTAGGGCCAGAGTTGGCCCTTGTCCTTGGAAGCTCACAGTTCTCGCATGGCACATTGAATGTATTGGAGTTCCCACCAGATTAAATCTTTGATTTCATATTTTTCCCTTTCAGGGTCCAGGTCGCTCAGATTCCGTGCTACCTAAGGCAGTTGGCCCTAACAGCAGAAAACTGGTTACGAGGGAGACAGACAGAGATTGTCATCTTTGATGTAACTGAATGACATTTTCCTTAGTCCCTACAATCAGGAAAATCGGAGCCTGCATTCATTTTACTGTCTTCAGGGAGCTTTTACAAAACATTGGTGTGTGAGTGTTCACTGAGGTCTGACCTCCTCCTCTCTTCAATTCCTCACCGTCTCCCTTTTTTACGTCCCCTCACCAGGCTTGTGAGATGCGAGGGGTACAACTTGGAAAATTTCTGCTCCCAAAGTTTTTCTGCTCCTGTGCTGCCACTCGTGCACCCGGAGCTGCAGGAACACAAGTTCCTGCAGGCCATGGTGGGAACCTGTCCCACAGCAAGCTGCCATTCAAGGGCCTCAGGCTGATGGGTTTCCCCATAAACCGCCTAGAATTCCTCCCAATTCTGGTATATTTTTTTTGATTTTGTTCCACATAAATACATGGTCATGAGACTTGTGGAAGTGCTGCCCTTTCTGGCTGAGGTGCAATAGTGAATTACAACTAAGCTACTTCTCCACCTTCTTTTCACATGAGTGATCTTGTCATTTTCGGTACTTAATGCGTAGTGGAAAGATGACATACTTCAAACACTGAAAGCTCAGCCTCCATTTCCCTGTCTCCCACTTTTTTTTTTTTCCCCAAAATGTTACTTATTAGTTGTCATCTCTTCTGTGTAAAGCTTTAGTCACCATAGCAGCAATGTTCGGCCATACTCCTTCAGGACAGTTTCACTGGACTGAGAGTGCAAACAGCCTGAAGCCTGTGAGGTGTTTGCCCATTTAGTTTCTGTTTAGGAATGCAAGGAGTGTCTGTTCGACAGAAGGGCTCAACTGCCTTCAGAAGTACAGAAGGGAAAAAAAACCCCAAAGTGTAGTGATACATCCTTGCAGCTCTAGCTGAGGCTCAGCTGCCCTGTTAAGGTCCTGATGCTTCCCTGCTTTAAGATGGAGGAGCAAATGCAAACAGGTACAAAGATCTCCACTGTACCTCTTTCCACAGCAGGGAAGAAAAAGCTATTTCCTATATAAGTGGAAATTTAATGCCAACAGGGTGGTACCACACATTTAAATTGTTACCACTGAGTGCAAGTGGAGTTCCACAATGCTTTGAACAGAAAAAATTTGGCTTTCCAGCCTCCATAACCAACTCTTGTCCACAGGCATACACCCTCTGTCAGACTGAAAAAAAAAAAGTTAAGCAACCCAGACTAACCCACCTCCTCCACCCTGCTCCTGGGCACCAGCACCTGAGGAGCGAGCAGAGGTGCCCCGAGCTGCACTAGAGGAGCCAGTAAAACAATGCTAAAAATCCACCCAAATTAATCACAGCCCTGCTGGGGCAGCAGGGAGGTGGAGGGCTGTGAAAAGGCACCCTGAGGGGGGCTGGGTTCTGGGGGTGCCGCGGCCCTGGGCTGGGGTGTGCGGGAAAAAGGGCTCAGAAATCTCTCAGCACACCTGAGCAGCCTCAAGGTGTCCAGGGCCATTATGGCAGTTTTGGGGGACACTGATGGCAGTTCGGGGGTCCTGGAGCTCAATCCTCCCCCGATGCTGCCTGGGGCACTGACAGCAGTTTGGGGGGGGTGCACCCCCAGCCAGCGTCTGGGGCCATCGTGGCAGTTTGATGGGGCACTGATGGCAGTTTTGGGGGTGCACCCTCAGCTGCTGCCCGGGGCCATCGCGGCGGTTTTGAGGGGCACTGAGGGCAGTTTGGGTGGACGCCCCCCGCCCCCCCCCCCCGCAGCGGCTGAGGCTGCGCTAACGGCAGGCGTAGGGCGGGCGGCACCGCGCATGCGCCGAGCCCGGGCTGTGCGCGCGGGGTGGGGGGGGGAAGAGCGAGACGACTCGGCGCATGCGCAGAAGGCGGGCGCGCGGCCAAAAAAAAAAAAAAAAGAGGCCGCCCCGCGCTTGCGCGAAAGATGGCGGCGGGGCTGCGTGGGGGAGGGGCGGCAGGGCGCAGGCGCTGAGCGGGCGGGAGCGCGCGGAGCCCCCGCGCCACCGGGAACGGGGGGGAGGGAGGGGGGGGAGGGGTGGGAAAAGGCGGGGAGGGGCTGCACCGGGACCGGCGGCAGCGAACCGGGAGCGGCGGCGGGGAGGGGGCGGGTCGCCGAGCATGCCCGAGGGGGCGGGGCATCCGCCGCTCGACGCATGCGCGGTGTGAGGCGCGGGGGGGGAGGCGCAGGGCCGCGGCGGCGGCGCTCGGCGAGGGGGACAATGGCGGCGGCGCTGGCGGCGGGAGGAGGCTCAGGGCCCGGCGCCGCGGCGGCGGCCGTGGCGGTGAGCGGCGGCCCCGCTTTGGCCGCCCTGTCGGTGGCGAGGCGGAAAGACGGCGGCCCCACGGGGAAGTTTTGGGAGAGCCCGGAGACGGTGTCCCAGCTCGACTCGGTCCGCGTCTGGCTGGGGAAGCACTACAAGAAGGTGCGGCCCGGCGGTGGGGTGGGGGGGGGGGGGGGCGGCGGTTTAACGGGCCTTTCCCGCGGGAACGGGGCGGGGGGGGGGAGGCCTGGCACCGCCGCTGGCCTTTGGCAGCCGCGGGCTCGCCGGGGCCGAGCGCGGGGTTCGCCCCCGGGGGAGCCCGGCCCGCGCCCCGCGTCCCCCCTTCCTACCGAGGCGAGGAACTTTCTTGTGCGGGCAAGTCCCGCCTCGGCTTGCCAAGATTTTGGACGGGTTATGCTTCAACCGCACCCCTGAAGTGTCGGTGTGTTTAAAAAAAAAAAAAAGGAGGGAAGAAAAAAACCAAAACAAAAAGAAAAAGCCGTTTGTGCCGTTCGCGACCGTTTCGCTGAATCTGCTGCGCGTTGCAAGCTCCGTGTGTGTCGCTTGTACTTGGGGCAACTCCACTTTTTGGTGGAGGCATTGCTCGCCGTGTATTGTACTCCCTCTGCCACATAGTTTGCTGTGCTCTCTGTTTCTTTGCTTTCTTTTCCAGCGTTATTCCTTTATGATGATTTCATAACTTTCTTTCGATATCTAAGCCTTGAAAAATTACTTGAGGTGAACCTTCCAGAAGACAGGTAATCTGCCTAGACAGCTTTTAACAGTCCTAGGGAAGAGCATTAGCTGGGGCAGAGCGATGCTGCACAACCTAAAGGTGCCTTACTCTCTATATTATAGTAGCTTATATATATATATATTTATAGTAGTATTATATCCTGCAAATCCTGGCGTCCGTCCCTCCGTTCTTCGGCAGGTCTGGTGTCGGTAACCCACGGGACCCTTAGCCCGTTGCTCTGCGGGTGCTGCTGATGGGATTATTTATCTGGCAGTGCTCAGAAACGGGTCTGTAAACCCATCTGGGTTACAAACCAGCGCAGTTCAGAGGGGGGTTGGACCGGTCCTTCCACATAGCTTGTGTGAGCGCAGCCCGTGGAGTCGAGTCAAATCGGCGCAGTGGGGCGGAGGTCGTCGTTTGAAGCTCTTTGTGCCGATAAGGAAATTGTAACATAAAAATGTATCTTCAGTTTGACTTTGTTTTGGTTGTGCTTCTCTGCTGTTACCAGGAGGAGCATTCTTTCATTTCATTTTCATAACAGAATACCCGCAAGAACACAATAAACTCTTGAAATAGCTTTGAACTGGCACCTGCTGTTTTGCAGAAGAGCAAGTCACCTTATTAAAAGCATTAACGGTTATTGTCCCTTGCTGTTGTGAATCAAAACTATCTAGACAAGCTGGTTCTCACCTTACTGGCCTAGCAGGAACTCTTATCTGTAGTTCAGGAACAGGGGCTTTCATTTTGTATGCCAGAGAAAAACTCCTTTATTATAGTTAGTTTACATGGTATTACTGGTTACAGAGATTATGTGGTTTTATTTATTTCTTGAACTCTGGAAGGTAATTAGAATTGGGCTTAGACGTTGTTCTTACTGGGCAAGTGAATTTCAAAATACTGCTGTGTGAAATACTTTAAAAAAAAATGGAAAATTATTTTTGTTTTGGGAAACAAGGAAACATACTACTAGCGTTTGAAGATGTATCAGTACTCTAAATGGAAGCGTTAATTCCTTTTTGTTGTGCAGTAAATGGACTCTAGTTCATCTTGCATCTATTTTCATCTTGCTGTAGGTGCATGAGTTCTTTCAGAAGAGTACGTGGTGATTATAGTTGGCTTCTGTCTAGTTTGTACTCTTAAAAATAGACGTGTACATGTCGGCAGCGGGGAAGCCTCGGCTGTAGGAGATGTTGTGTCCAGCACTGGGGACGTTGGGGACTGCAGTCCCGAGAGCAGCAGCAAGCTTGATCAAATATCCAGAAATCAGGATGGTCAAGGAGAGACTTAGAGAATTGCAGCTGTAAATCTTCTAATTCTTGTCGCTAAATTAGGCAAGTCTTCAAATATCTAAGAGTTCTCCACGTGTCTAGAGTATGACTAAAAAAGTAAGAGGTTTAAATAGTATGGAAGACCCCCACTGACAGGGGCAGCGCAGCCAATCTCTGTCAGCAATCTTCTGATGAGATGTGGGTTTTGTAACCCTGCGTGGCTCTGAAAGGATGTTTTCTGTTTTCCTGACAGAAACTTTCTGGGCCCATCTCAACCAAAGTGCTGGCAGGGAGGAAAGCCCTTCCCTGCACGTGCAGAAAGACTGTGCGCTGGGAAGGCTCGGGTGGGTGGGTAGAGGATGCCTGTGAAGGTGGAAAGAACGCTGTTAGTGCAATAAACATAATGACAGAAAACAAAATTACTTATTCCAGACTTCCTCCTGCTCCCTGTCTCTGTGTATCTGAGGTATGGATGTCATTTTGCGCTGTTTCTCTGCACTGGGAGTTGCAGGAGGTTCCCCCGCTCCTCCCCGGGCCTCCGACCGCAGGATGGATGGTTGAGCCTTTCTTCCCCGTGAGCTGGGAATGGGCTCGTGCCGTGGTTTTCGTGGCCTGGGGGATCTGACGGGCTTTCCCAGCATTTGGGTAGACTCACTCTGGTGATGTCAAGGTGGCCACAATAAGTAGAAATTTATAGTTCAGAACTAAACGGGGCGATGCACTTTTTACTATATTAGCGCTCAGTGATCTCTAATACTGTGCATTGCTTAGGTAGTTCCTTTGACATTAAGCAACAAATTGCTCATGTTCAAATGGTGCAAAGCAGAGTTCTTTCACGTATTTAAAATATTTCCCCAATATTGTTGGGAGTTTTTTTTCTCTTCGTATATATTCTGAAGGATGCAGAAACTAACCTTGGCCTTACAGCTGCAGTCGCCAAGGTCTGTTCCCAGTGTGTTCGTCGTGTCCAGTTCAATATACTGGCCTGTAGGAGCTTCAGCTACTCAGTGGCTCTGGAAGCCGTGCCCTGCCCCTCTGAGACAGACTAGGAAAACTAAATTTTTGTAAGGGACAGGGACACACACACGGGACGGGATGGGAGGGGGCAAGGAGGAGGGCGTTCTGTTTTTTAAAGAACAAGTGGAGCGTCGTCGTAAAGGTGAGTTAGAGGAGAAGACAGCGTGGGCTGGCCGGGTAGGTGCTCCACTGTGCAGAGTGTGAGGAGGTAGAGTCGCCTGGAAGCCTGGGTGGTTTGTGGAGGTTTTTGGGACTAGGATCAAGTGTAGAATAAGAAGTTTTTGTGCGCTCCTGGCATGCGGTGCCATTGTAAGGTGTTGGACTGATGCCGGTGGAGCGCGTCTGTTTTCCTGCAGGGCAGTAACGCCGGGCAGCAGTGTGGGGATCCCTTTATGCCCTTCTATTAATAATCTCCAGCCCGACAGCGAGGAGGGACGAGCCGCTTCTTGGCAGCTGTTAGGAAATGGCAGTTGTTATGCCCAAAGATGTCTGTTTGGAGACCACCTGCTTGTTCACCGCCAGCCAGGAGCTGAATTTAGAGGATTTGTAGTTGTCTTTCGGCTGGCTCTGACTTGTCACGTCAGTGCTAACCTTTATCAAGTGTTTCTTCAGTGAGTGACTTGGATTTAATCTGAGGGAGGATTTTCTCTGTGTTTGCAGCCCTCTTGTGTTCTCGCCTTTAAAAGAGGAACAAGGGTTTTAACCTGAATCAAAGTATTTTAATGTTGGTTTTCCTTTTGCTGTTATTTAGTCGTCTGAGCTGAAATGTTCTTTGTTTGGGGGGAAGGAAAGGATTTTGTGCATCAGGGCTACAATGCAGAGCTGTAATGTGGTTATTTGAGGTCAGTAACCACATCAAAACCGGGTAGATGAATCTGTCCCTTCTGCCTGTGACAAAGGCTTTGCAGTGCAGCTACGATGGCAAATCTTGCTGTGAAGAGAAGTGCTTTCCGCTGCTAGTGGCTTCTCTCTGTTATTGAATAATTTGAGTTACACCAAAAGACTTCTGACCATACATATTTTCTGCTTAAGGATATGTGGTTGTTTTTGTGTTTCTAATTGACATGGAAAAGTTAGAAAAATCTTTGCTGTGTTGATGATGCTTTGGTATTTCATCACTTGAACAAAATCCTCTTATGCCGAAGCTGTGTGTCTACAAAGAGGGCGTCATTTGTGTCTTCTGGGATTCGCTGTTTAAAAAACTACTCAGTGCAGAATCCTCTTCTGCTTCAGTCTGCTGCGGCGACCGGTGGAAAACTTGCAGATACGTTGTGACTTGAGTCCTCCGTGGTCCCCTCAAACCCACTGCACATCGATCAGGAAATCATCTCACTGATTTTACGGCTTTAAAGATCCACTTGTATTGCTGGTTAGTGTACATAAGTAATCGAGGGGAGTCTTTTGTGTTTCCTTTTTGAGTTTTTTTTTCCCTTATTGTTTAGGGAGAACCTCAGGCAAAGTAATGAGTTTCTTGTTAAAAAAAAATTTGCAAGATAGTGGCAATGTAGAATGGAATCAGGGGTTCCTAATGTTACCTTCCTTTCTGATAGCTTCCAGCCTTCTGCAGGAGGTAAAAGTGGGATCTACAAGTAAAGGAATAAGTGCCTGAAAAATTTCACGTGTCTAAGAACACAGTTTCCAAGGTATATTCTCATGTAAATGTGTGGGGCTTTTTTTCTGAAGGAAATCATTTGGGGGGAAAAAAAAAAAAAAAAAAGAGTAAGTCAATATAAGAATTCGTCCTCTTCTGGATTCAGTTTTTTGACTGAGGTTGCGGTGCTGGGTGCTCCAGGACATCATGGGTTTACGGCAGGCAGCGTGGTCGTGGTGACTCTCATTTACGAGTGACAAAGAAACCCTACTAGAAAACCCTGAACTTGGACTATTTCCACATTGATTTTAATTTTCTGTTTTTGTTGGCTTGCTTGTGTGAAGAATATGTTCCTTCTCTGGTTATCTTTTTCATGAATTATCTTCCCACGGTTTCTGGGATCCTTAGACTGGAAGTTGAGGGAACCCCAGCTGGAGGGTTATGCTGAAGGCAGTTTTGTTCTAGGTGCCCTAGAGAATCTGTGAGCTTAAGTGTCTGTATGGGTTGAGAGGTGGATTAGTGAAATTCCAAGTTTTGTGATTGGGGTTTTTTTTGTTTTAAATGTTGGCCATAAGTACAGCATTGCCTTATACTTCTATTTCACTGTTAGTAGGAGCCATTAATACTTTGTCTTGTTGCATTTTATGTATTTTTGGTGCTTTGTTAATTTAAAATACCATGTTAAACTTGGTGCAAAAAGCTGCAATACTTGTAACCTGTACAAAACCCCCAAACGTAGCAATACAGAGTTTTTTCCCCATTAAATGAGTTATGATGGCTATGAAGGTTTTTTGTCTATTCTCTGTTGCCAGTTTGATGAAGCCTGCATGGCTTCTGAGAAGATACGCAAAAGCTACTTCCACATTTTTTTATCTTCCTCAAGTACACCTCCCGTGCAAAACTAAAGGTGTGCTACTACAATGTACTGTTCTATTGGGAAAAGATTTGTATCTGTCACTCCAGATTTGTATTTAGAGGAGGTGCTACAGCTAGGTGGGTAGACAGTCTTAAATAGCTGGGCTTAAGTTGGAACCAGAGTCTTTGCTTTTTGAATATGTTTGACATGTACAGCACGCAGATGTGTTCAAGACCAAAGCTGTCTTGGTAGCAGAAATGGGATTATTTAATATGAAGTCTGGCACTTGATCTGCTGTGCTTTTGTTTTCACATTGGTGCAAATCCTAAATCTGCAGTTTAGCAGATACCTGTTGTACTTGCACCTTTTATTTTACATTTGTTTGATTGCATTATAATCGGCATAGCTGAACTAAAAGCTCAGTTTTATTCAGAGTCGCGTAAGGTGGTGGTCCTGCAAAAGTTGAACAGGCAAAATGATGGGAGCTTTAGGGCTGTTAGCTGTGATACACTACATCTGTGCACATCCTCGGTGTGAGAGTCACTTATTTTTAAACTATTCAAAAAAACAACACAAGATCAATCTTCTATTAACAGCTCTAAAAGTACGCAGCGCTGTCTGCATTTGGGTAATCATCCATCTTGGTTTAGCAACCCTTAGAACACTGATAAAAAGGGTTCTGGCAAATTTAGGAACGGAGGTTTAAGTATTATTCTGTGCCTCCCCACTGGAGAATTTTACCCCTTGTACCAAAGGCAAGAGAAGGGCAGGCGTCCCGCTGAGCTGCAGCACCTGGTAAGCTCATGCAGAGGCTGGGATGGGTTTTTCAGTAAAGATGCTGGATTAACTGGGGCATCTGAGTCAGCCACATGCTCTGTTTTGACATCCTGTTTAAGATCAGTAATTCCAACAAAAGATGCTTAAACTGCTCTGGTCAATTCATCTGCAGCACCCAGAGCTTCCAGTCCAAAAATTACAAAGAAAGTACTTGCTAGCTGAGAGCAGCATGAGGGTCTAGAGGTTTTTAAAAAGCCTAAGAGCAAAAGTCTTTATCTTCAACTGGATTCCGACAGCAATAAAGACTGACTTGATTGCTGCTTCATCACCTGCCACAGAGCTATGTGAGTTGATAGGAGTTATCAATTGGATAAAATTGTCCCAATTGCTTTTCCTGGAGGAAGGGAGGAGGGCTAAGAAAAATACAGCTTTAGAAATGTAGCCTTCTGTTCTTTACAGTGTCATATTTCTAGATCAGGTTTTATATACAGGGCAGGACACCTGGGGAATCTCACAGGTATTTGTGTCCTTCAAGTTGCAAAGGTTTAACTTCTCAGTTATGTCTGTCTGCCTCTTAACAAAGTGCTGAAGGAACTTGCCTCTCGAGGAAGTCAGATACTGTAAATTTGTCATGGCAAAGTCAAGGTCTTTGTAGTACCTTTTGCTACGTAGATGGTGCTTTGGAAAGCTTAGTTAGATTTGACTGCTATTTAACACCACTGCTTTAAACTTTTGAGGGTTCTGGCTCCCAAAATTCTTTTAAGGGGTTTTAGAAGAATCTGGTTTGGGGGAAGAGCAGGGGCCTTGTGGTGGCGGGTTATCCAGGGAAATGACTAGGGTAGCTGATATTACTCCATATTCTACATGAACAAGTAATGTTTGTTCTACTCTCAGAAGTCTTCTGGCATGGTGACGAGATTATATCCAGTAAGTGAATATTGTACTATTAGGAGTAATCTCAAAAGCCATGGGACTTCTTTTTAACATTCTGTGCAGTGATTTCTCCTTTTACATATATGCATTTCATTAGGAGTGTAACCTTGGGAAATCTTTAGATTGTCGCAAAGCATTGCCCACGTAGTTGTCTGGATCAGTTTTTCTGTTTGTACCTGGCACGCTATATAGTACCAAATGGATGCTTTTAGGATCTGTGTGTATAGTTGATCACAGAAGGAGCTCGTAAAGTTGCTGTAGAAAGCTTTGTGTACGTGCGGGCCAGAATTAGTCTGCTCCTTTATTAGGAACTGCAAATCAGATTGAAGTAGTTATTCTGTAAAGCACCGCTGGCCGTGATGAACTGATAATGATTCACAGATCCGCAGTATGTTTTTAAGACTAAAGCTTGAAAAATGTTTTGTGCTTGATGCTCCTCCTGTGTACGCACACCCCCACACCTCCCCCAGCAACACAGTGATCCTTAAATCTGAAACCGTGCTCTACAACTGCTAAAGTGTTCCGGGGAATTAATAAACCAGTCTGCATGTTTTATTACCCTCTATCCCAAGTAAGCCTGTGTTATTTGTCTTTCAGTATGTTCAAGCAGATGCTCCTACCAATAAAACGCTGGCTGGGCTGGTGGTGCAGCTGCTGCAATTCCAGGAAGATGCCTTTGGAAAACATGTCACCAATCCTGCCTTCACAAAGCTTCCTGTGAGTATTGGAGTTAACCCACTGCTTTCACAACAGGGCATTTTGTTCTTCCTCCGGTGTCTGTGCCGCTGGCGTGCTTCCAGGTGATTGGGAGCTCAGTGCTCAGGCTGAGCCTTTTGTTGACGCATCCTCTGGAAGTGTTGAAATAGCACGCTCCTCCTTGAAAGCACGTTTTCAATGTAATACAGCTTATTTTCTATACGTTTGAAATGATTTCCTAAATACTGTGGGAAAGTTTTAATTTTTACTAAAATTCTGGGTAAGCTCGTAATCTTTGAATCACATCTGTTTGGACTGGGGCATCCTAAACTGACTGATTAACGTGCACTTTGAAAACAAACAAGTTTTCGTTGGGCATATCTGTTGATTAAACTTAAAACTTGTAATGCTGTCAATGCTGAAAAATGACTTTTCCATGTTCTTTAGCAGCACAGTTACCCAATTAGTCTGGGATAGTTTTCCAGTCACTCAGGATATTGGTGTACAGAAACAATATCAACATTTTAAGTGTTCCTTATTTAAAGTTCAAACTTGGCACATCTTCAGCAGCAGTGCCCTAGTGATTGTGTTCAGAGATCAGTCCCATTGCGCTTAGAACCGTGCCTGCCACCAAAATAATCTTGTCCAAGTGAGTGTGAAGTCTAAACAACTGATAGAGGGAAGAGGGATGCAGCAAATGGTAAGGACAAAGTACCAACGGGATTTCAGTTGTGAAGGGCAAGGACTGCAGCGTGGTGTCTAGCACCCAGATGGCTGATTGAGGGTAGGTTGTGGGCCAAGACAACTGTCATGAATGCATGTGTGAGCGTTGGGGGCGTCAGCAGGAAGGTTTTTGCTTATCGTTGCCACAGAATGCCACCGGGGAACCAGAGGTCATACAGTCTAGGGTTCTCTTTAGATACACATACTGAGTTGGAAATAGTTGTCACTGATTACAATATCATAAACTGAAGTTGTTCTGAAAACTGCTGGAAGTATTCCTATGTTCTTCCATCCACCACTTACAGAATAGTATATTTTTATTATTTTATGGTGAGTTTTTCTCCCCAAATGTTTTGCTTATGTAACTTCTTTTGTGAGGAGTGTGAATTCATGTGTGTTTTCTTCAGAAAGCGAGGATTCAGGTTTACTGGGTGCATCTCTTGGTGTTTAGGAATGCACATAGAAGCACCACAAGATGCCACGAAGATGTAGCTCACCATATCTTCCATTCCAATCACCTGATACTTCAGTGATAGTGAAAAGCTTCAGGGACAGAGGTGAACCTTGCGGTGCTTTATTTTGATATGGCAGTGTAGGCCATAAAACTGTACCCGTATTCAACAAGTTGATAACCATTAGAGTGTTCTCAAGTCTTAATTTGTCTTATTTTAAAAATAAAGATTTTGGTGGCGTTGTAAATACGATGTTCCTGTGTTTAACTCTTCTTGCTGTTTTGAAGGTCTAATCTGATCAAAGTTGCTCCACTTAAGTTTACAGCAGTTGGATCTCTCTGCTCTCAATTACTTCCGACAGAAGACAACCCATCAGTACATCTTCCTTTATATTGTTTTTATGAGAAAATACAATGTGTACTCTTAAGATAAGATTAATGTTCACTTGTTTAGACATGAAATTTCAGATAGGGGTTCAGGCTGCGAAGGAGGCTTGGTTATTCTACCGTAGCACTTTGAAGATGTGCAGAATGCTTTGATTCTACAGGACTGTGTCTGACTTGGGAAGAGACTTGGGGCTAAGGGATGTCTTCAGTGACGTTGCTGATCTCCAAAACTATATATTGAAAAGCTGTTGCAGACTTCCACTGGAAAGGAACTGAACGAAGCTAAAAGAGATTAAAAGTCTGTAGTTATTTTGGTGTCTCTTCAGTATTACCGTGTTCCTGGTGAGGATCTGAAGTTGAAGAGGAGGTGGTCATGCTTGTGTAAAAGAAACAGCCCTCTGTGAGCCGACACAGGCAGGAGACAGGAACAAGCACAAAACCACAGATGAAATGCAAAGAGTAAATTTATTCTCATTACCTTGCGACCCAGGGGATCCGCGAAGCTCAGTCCTTGCTAGCTAGGAAAAGAAGAAAGAAAAGCTCTCAGACCTGCTACTTTTGCCTGTATATAGCAGGGGGTTTTTGCAGGCACAGTTTTCCAGCGTGCTTTGATCTTTCCCACAGCAGGGCCGGAATCTCAAGGATGTTCAGTGAGGTGCCTCGGCGTCTGTCACAGGCCTGTGTTATCTAAACGCAGTCAAGCACACAAAGCTAAACAACAATTAGTATGATGTATGTGACTTTCGACACCCCAGCTGCAAGTCACTCGAATGTATTTAGAATGTTCCTGGCTAACCTTCCTTTGTATTCTCACGTACCCCCAAGCCATCAAAATGTTGAGTGCCACGTACCTGCAGGTGACTGCAGAAGTGTCCTCGGTTTGTGACTGCTGCTCACAACTCCATCGCTACAGGCAGCTGTTGGTAGTCCGGTCCCTGCACGGTGCTGTTCTCCAGTAAGACACACCGCGCTGTTTCCCGTATCGCTGCAGTTCATTTGAGATCGAGTGCTGTTCTTGAGAACTGCACTTGTTCAAAACGTAGGGAGGTGGCTCAGCAGGAGCACTTGCTGGTGAGAACGTGTCAATCCGAGGTTGTTCCCCCAGTTCACGTCAGCGCCTGTACGTGAATTTCCCAGGAACTAGCCCGCGTACCTCACGGTGGTTCCCTGAAGCGTCTGCTCCGCGATGCTGCAGCGGTCGGTGACAAAGGGAGAGCTGGTCTCTCCCATCAGTATTCGAGGTAAACCTCTCTGACCCGGACTGCACCTGAATTGCTGCAGACTGCATCTGTTGAAATAAAGCGCAAACGTTTTACTTGGTGCTTCGAGTGGGTGAAACGGACCTTGCATTTGAGAGAGTGTTGAGAATTCTGTGTTTAAGCTGCTGTTCTTGGCAAGAATGTTGTACAGGAAAGGCCTGTGAATAGATCTAGAGTAAATAAAGGACTGTTGCAGCTTGACTTCTGTGCATGTCTTCATATTATTGCATTTAAATGCATATGGTCTAACCTTACTGATGCTCAAAAGAGAAAAAGCCAGTTAATTCTCTAAAAGGCAGCTTTGCATGTTTCAAATGAAAGCTGTATTGAGATATTAATTCTTAAGATGACAAATTGTAAGGCCAGTTGATCTTAATTGCCTTGTTATGGTGGGTTTGGGGTAAAAATGTTGCAGGGAATCTGGTTTATTGACCGCTGCGTCTCTTGCGTGGAGCAGGTTTTGTCAAATTGTTAAAAGCAATTTGCTTTTATGCTGGTAGCAGCAATCACAGTTTAATGAGAGGGTCATGCTCGATTCTGCCGATACCTCAGAAATGTGGCTTATGTCTGTGAAAGAGATTGGTGTACTGTTCTTCATGGTAAAATAGTGGCTGGACTTCCCGTGTGCGGTAGGAAAACCCGAAGTTGGCAGAGTGGGTGCGATCGCTGGTGCCGGTCCGGGGTCGCCGAGCCCCGTGCCGGGCTGCAGGACGGCCTTCCCCAGCCACGCCGGTAATTTAACGCGGGCAGCTTGGTGAAGGTGAAGCTGCAGCAGCAGCTTGAGGTAGGGGGTGTTGGGTACAACAGCGGGACCGAGGGTTTCCCAAAGCGCAGATGAGGGAAAGTGATTTCATTCAGTTGTGTGATACGGCCGGCATGTCAGCCAAGAAGGAACGGTCTGTTCTGCGTGCCCATATGTGAGTAGGGCAGCTGAAGATAAGTAACAGCAACTTCCATACCAGTGCTGCAAAAATGCTCTTTACGACGGGTCTTCTGGCTTCATGTTGAGTTTTATTTTTCTTTCTAGCTAGCGTTTGCTTGCGTGTTTGTAAACCAACACTTACATTCTTGGAGCCAAGTCTTACGGCAATAAAATCATTCAGCGTGTTAGAACATTTTGGTTTAGTTCAAGCTTCTGATCAGAGACTGCTCCATCTATGGAGGACTTCAGTTTGCTGAGAACAGTGCTGAAAAGCACGCGGCTCGTAAACTGGCAAGTACCTGTATGGCAGCTTTGAGCTCCCTTTATTGTTTTCTGTGCACAGTGGGGCTCTAAACAGATGGTAGACCAGGAGCAGTTCTGTTCTTGTTGAATGCTTATGAAGGATCTTTTTTATGTTGTTCTTGGACACTGGCGTATTTGATACCTCACAGAACTGCTTTGCTTCCCATCAGCAGCTCTGGAGCCGAGGAAGGCAATGTTTTGTTTAGATCCCGTGCTACCATTTTAGCTGCCTGGCTGCAGAATGAACTTAAAATGCTCGTCAGCAGTGCTAAGGCTGTCCGTAATTTGGTGTTCCCCTTGTGTTAGCAAACATTCCTGTGGTGTAATATAACGGGCTGTAATGAAAACGACCTGTTCCGATCTAAAAAGTAAGATAGGAGCTAGATCAGAAACCTTCCTAATGTAGAACAACTGCTAGGAAGGCTGTTGTCTGTGCGGTGTCTCCAGCTTTGGGCCTTCTCTCGTTCCAGCAGAAGGCAGCAGGAACCTGCTGGCAATCAGAGCCCAGCCATCACACAGCTGCCCTTTGGGGACCGGGACAGGTTTTTTTACTGAGAAACACAAAATAGGCGGATCTGGGTCTCTATGTTTAGCATGCGTGTGGCAAGACAGGGTTCGTTGTCTGTTCCAGTAAATCGCTGGGGATCTTTCCTCTGAACAGAGCAACGTCAGAAGGGGTCGAGCCCCGAGCGGCCCTCGGCGCGGCCGCTGCGCGCTTCTGCCAGGGCTGGGGGGCGTGGGCCCCCCGCCTTTCTGTTCGCCCCCCTCCTCCCGAGAGCTGGGGATACCCACCGCCAGGCAGAATGTACGTTTCTGGTGTGGAAGCTTAGCTAGGTCGATGGATCTGCCTCAAATTGCCGCTTGTTTATTGTTAGAACAGCTTGCTTTAGGGACTGGCCGAAGCCGTGTGGGACGTAGACCTCTCTGCCCAGCTAAGCCTTTCGAAAGTCCTACCGATCCTACGTAAAACCTGCCAAAAGCAGTTCGGTGCTGCAGTCGATAGAAACAAGTGTCCCAGGGTAGTCTTACTTGAGTGCGTGTTTGTAAAATAATTTTTACGTCTTAAAAATTCTAAAACTCACTTTCCGGTGGTTCAGTCAAATTGATTTATCAGTCGCGTTGGAAAACAGTCTAACGAGAAGGCCTGATGGACGGAAACGGAGTTTTTTTGACTTGTTCTATTCTCGTGTCCTATGTTGCTTTCTTTCCCAGTGGTTAGTTGATCCCTGCTGGTGCGTGTTCTTCCTGTCCCAAGCCCTGTACTGCGAACCTCCGACACCCCATGTGTCAGTACGCTCCGAGTCACGCTTGGCGTAGGCTCCAGCGTTGCCCTTCTCTGGTCCTGCCTTCAGCTCAGCTCTCCAGTTGTCTTCCATTTCTAAAGTGACTTTGACAGCACTTTGCTTTTTCCAAACGCACACAGACATCCTGACCAGAGATACCAGTAAAACAGCAAAGATAAGTTGGAACTACAGCCCTGCTTTTTCAGTAACCTTTTAGAGAAAGGACTTGATGGGACTCGGGACTCCGGGGAGCTTGTCAGTCTTCTCGTGCTCCTGGCTGAGTTTTGGTTCTTGAATTCAGAGTACCTGCTTACGAGTATGTGACTCAGCTGTACTCTGCTAGAATTGGTAGTGAAGAAACGAGTTGGATTTAGTATTTTAGGGCAGATCTGCACAATGACCTTTCTAGATCTTGACAAACTACTTTTTGTTGTGGTGGAGGAAGGACATGGAAAGCTTCAGGAGCCACAGTGAATATGGAGCCTGGGCTTTAGATGTTCATTTCTAATTATTTGTTTTGATCTAGTTAATACAAATGAAGAGCTTCTTAACCGACAGCTACGATTTTGGGTTTAGTTTGCTGTGAAATGGATGTTCAAAGAGTAGTTTTGAATTTCTGTTTCACAGCTATACAAGGAATTTTTTGCAAGCTACTCACCTAAGAAAGGACTTGGAGCCTTAGGATGTATCAGGTTCTGCTTGCAAGCACAAATAATTTGATTTAAATCAAATGCATTTAATTTTCCGGAAACATCCTTAAAGGAGAGCATAGAACTCCAGAAGTGATTCATCTGCAAATTAAGCTATGCATTTGATAAGTTAGATGTCTAAAACTCAGCTAGCGAGTATGTATTAGTTTAAAATAATTACATAAATTCAATGTCACTGTGTTTTCACTTTTCTTTTGTGTTCTAGGCAAAATGCTTCATGGATTTCAAAGCTGGAGGTACATTATGTCACATTCTTGGTGCTGCTTACAAATACAAGAATGAACAGGGCTGGTAAGTTTTTATTTTTGATTTATACACCTTTTGCATGAAATTAAGCACATGAAATGCCTATGCAAACTACTTAAAGTTTAATATACTTTCTGGAGAATTGGGTAGGCAAGGGAGTTGGAGATGGGAAGAGGAAATTTTTGTCCTGTTTGGCTGATGGTAGCTTTTTTAAGACACACCCTCGCACTTCTAAATTTAAAGATAAGTTGTCCAGGTTTAAGGTCTTGAGCCTGTAGGTTGGGAGTTAATTACAATCTCGAGGACTTTTTTTTGCCATTTACTGGCCGTTTGACTGGGCAGATTAACCCGTATCTTAGAATCGCTGTTTCCAGCTAGAAGATGTAAATCTTTGTTACTGTGTTGAGTGTAGGGATTAGTTGTAATTGGGAAAATACGAACCATTCCATAGATAATAACAAATGCTCAGTTGTCCATTGCTTATCAGCCTCCATAAATGGGGGGTGTAAGTAATTAGAAACACTGCCCACGTTGGTATTGACACTAGTATTTGAACTATTCATATGACATCCTGGTAGTGTTTTGACCTTTGTATTTTTAAGTTATAATTGTCTTTGCAAGACAGCAGTAGCATGAATTACCATATTTGAAAACATTGGAAAAAAATCTCTCTCTCCCAACTGAAATCAGGACAGGATGAGAAGTTGATAGATGAAAGCAAGCAGAGATTGTTCTTGTGCGTGAATTGAAATAGTTTCTGATCTGATGTTGTGCAGACCTGTAACAGCATTCCTGGAATTGGTGGTGTTTCTGTTACCCACAAGAGCAAATTAAAAGGCAGAAACATAAAGTTGGTTTAGCATGGTTAGTTATCAGCTAAATGGATACCTGAGGCAGACATACCACAAGCTGGTATGAGTAAGCTGCTGTCAGGATTTTTCCTTCTCAAATATTGCCCACACCTAAGACACAATACACGTTTGTAGTGTTCTGTGTGGCATCTTTCAGGAGTGTCTTGCTACCTCTTTGCCTCAAGATAAAGGACTCAAATGGCTCCTGCTTTGTGAATATTTAAACATTGAAATATTTTCCAAACAAATTTATTTTTCAGTCACTGAAATTTGGCAGCAAAACTCAGATACGTGATTGCCTCCTCTCTTCTCGCTCTCTTGCTGATTCCTCAAAACTAGTGTGGGTAGTGTCTTGTGTTTGTGCATGTGGGGTGTAGGGGGAAGTAATACTTGAATTTAACTCTGAGGATCAGACTTAGAGCTTGGAATGTATCCTTCACTGACTCAACCAAATAATATGTGGTGTTTTGCCTGAAATATGATTTTTTTTTTTTTAATGGTATGCATTGTCGCTCTTGCTTAACCTGTTTGTGAATGATCTGTCTTATAGGAGAAGTACCTTTCCTCGTCATAATAGGTATGTCTGAAAAATGCACTTATCCAGTGCAGCTGGACATACCTTGTCTATCACTGCAATTCAAGTAGTTGTTTGCTAAAACCTGTCAGAGGGTATCAGTGAAATGAAGGATAGGAAGAAGCAGTACTACTATTTTATCTAAATGGGCAACTAAAAAAAGTGCTATTTTTCAATATATTGACATGCTTCTCTTAAAGCGTGGGTTTCAAAAGCATGCAGGAATTTGGGGACATATATAGCACTAAGCAAATATGTAATACAGATTTTAGGCAACCAAATGTAAAAACTTTAGTTAAACCTCAATGCCTTAAGCGTCTTTGTTTCGTAAATACGGAGACTTTTTTAGGTGTCTAGGTTAGTTTATGTTTATTTGGCATTTATCTTCCTTGAAACTTATGTTTGAGAAGCGTGTGTTTTGAATATAGACTGTCAAGCTGTCAGTGGCTGAATACTGGAGAAGTGGCTTGATCTTGGCTCTTAAAACCCTGTGTATTATAGGTGTAAAATACTTTATTCAACTGTGTTGTGCGGTGAACTGACAGACTTATTAATGACTGGCCCTTCTGGAAGTCAGCGTCACCTTGCAGCATGCACAAGGCTATTTAAAGAGGTCATAAATTTCTTCTAAAATTGAAAGACTATTCCAACGAATATGCCTGGGTATTATTTTTAACTTGTTTGCCGTGTTCTTGGTGTGAAGGGAAGAGTCCATAATACTGCTTTAGGAGAGAAGCCGCCCTTCACTAATAACGAGCTCTCGTAGTGCTGCCCAACACTACAGGGTGTTTGCGCAGTCCCTCCTGCGTGAGCAAGCTGAAAATGCGAGAGGAGCTCCAGTGAAGCAAAACATGGTGATCTCAGCTGAAGTGCCTTTGTTTAATTCAGTAGTGTAATATTGATGCGATGCCATCCTTGAGTGGTAATGGGCTTTGTGACTTAAAAAAAAAAAAAAAAAAAAATCAATCTTGCTTTGGTTTACCTTCATTGTATATTTATAAACTTTAAAAATTGATTTGATGTGTTACTGGAAACAAGCATGTGTTTAAAAGAAACTGTCATTAGATATGGGCAAGGGAATAAATTCTTGTGTTTTAAGCCAGGGGTGTTAAATTAAAGCGTATCAGTCACTGCATGGTAATGACGTGCGTGGCTTTGTCCCTGTCGTGAGTGCACAGGGCACGTTTTTATTTTTCACACTGATAACTGCCACCGCTGAGCACCAGCTCAGCACTCCGGAGTGTTTGCAGGCTGTGGCAACAGCTTTTTCCAAACCCCGGGGGGTGGGCAAGCGCTGGGGGCAGCGGTTTACACCCGGGGGTGGGCAGCCTGACCTACCCGAACAGCTCCCGGTGCTTCGGGGGCGGAGCGGTGTCGGGGGCCCCGGCAGCGCTGCCCGCGCCGCCTGGGGGTCAGGGGCTGTGGGATGGGGCCGGCGCCGACCCCCCCTCCCGGCTCCCGTGGGGGGGGGCACATTCCAGTTCTTCATTTGAGTTGATTCAGCCGTGACTTCCGAATCTGTGCAGGGTTCAGGGGGAGACGGCAGAGTGCCCCTGGGGGGCTCCTGTGCTTCTTCCCAGTAGAAAGTCTCAGATTTTTTTGTTTTCACCCCCCCCCCCTTTTCTGATAGACGCTTAAGTCTGCGTTGTTATTTCAAGAATTTTGATTACTGTGTCAACGAAGTAGCAAACTTTAAAATACCAGAGTCCAATAAAGGCGATCGTAAAATGCTTGCATGGATTATTAGCTACCTGTGTGCTGTGTGTGGGGTGCCTTGTTCTCAAATAGATAGTTTAGACAATCTCAGGCCAACAAATTGCTGTGTTTTTCCTGGATTAGAATCTGGGACTGGTGGATGGGTGCAACTAGAAGTAAGAGAAACGTGAGAGCTTGTTCATTACTTTTCTCATCTAGTTGTTGAAATCCATCATAAGCATTTAATTATGTTTCTGTTTAATTATCCTTTGTGACTGTACTGGAATGCACAACCCTGCTACAGGGTTCTGTTGGATAATGTCGACCTTCATTTTTCCTAAACATTTCACAAATCAGTTGCATTTTGTTGATTTGGACATTCATTGTGATTTTTCTTGCTTGTGAGGGCTGCCAAGTGAAGCAAAAATATTTGTGATTGTGCTTTAAGTGTTCTTATGTAGCTACCATGATACACTGTTTATGTGGAACGTGAAAGATTCTTGACTGCTGAATGGAGGAGAATTGAATTTAATATTTTTAAATCATTTTCCTTAACAGGCGGAGGTTTGACCTGCAGAATCCATCCCGAATGGATCGAAATGTGGAGATGTTCATGAACATTGAGAAAACACTAGTGCAGGCAAGACACTTACATACAAACCTGTGTGTGTTCACACGCTCAGGGAAGGGATTCACTGGCTTTTTGTGTACCTCAGTACTGAAGAGTTTCATCCGGGACTTCTGTAGGAACATTATACTCTTCCATCCCTCTCCCATTCATTTTAGTCACAATTCCATGTTACCACTTGAAAACTTCAGAATGCTTTCGCTGATACTCTGTGGATACGCATAGGGTGAGAAAAACCTGCTTGTAAGGTAGGAGAAGGTGTCCCGAGTGTCTCTGTCTTTCTGTGAAAGAAGCACCCTCAGGATTGAGTAACCAGTTCTGCACCGACCATTTGGTTGCTGATTTTCTTGAGACTTTCACCTTGATATAAGTTTGACTTTTTTTCAGGTTAGGATACATTTAGACTCTCTCACTTGATTTGTCAAACAAGTTACTACCAGAAGACAGCAGATAACAGCTGTATGGAACCTAATTTGAAGATAATTTTTTTAACTGCTGTGTGTGAATAAGAGAATAGTAATTTTTTTTCAAACTCGAAAACCAAGCTCAGTGTATAATATAGTCAAGATGTAACTTTCAGGTGTTTGTAAGACTGGGAATAGGAGGGACAGCAAAGAGAGACAATACTCTCATTATAAAAACCTCTTGCCATTGTGTGGTGGTTTCAGTACATAATAACATACATGTTAAAATCCAAAATGAAATTAATGTATACTGAAAATACCATAGAAATGCATGATTCTGCGTGTCGGTGCAACGGGACCGATTCAGCTTTGGAAGTTGACATGCAGGGGACTTAAATTCAAGCAAAGTCTTCCAGAGCCTATCAAAAAATCGTTGAAATCGAAGACACAGTTTCCGTTAAAGATGTTGTTGTGGGAAGGGCTACATTGGGTGCCGTTCCCTTCATCAGTGACAAGGTTTCTGACAGAGCCAGTGATGGATCTGTAGAGGTCAGAAAGAAACCCAGGATAAGGCTTGGACCTTGGACGGGGAAGGTGTGAAAAGGAAATGGTGCTGCCCTGGGGGTTTCTGGAGCTAGAGTTAGCGTGCTGTATCGCAAGCTGATACGTGTTCCTCTTGAGCTTTTTCAAGCACTGATGATCTTCGTAGGACTTTTTTGATTTATGTCACAGGTGGCCTACTGATTTCTTATTTAATTCTTATTCTCTCCACTAGAACAACTGTCTGAGCAGACCGACCATCTACCTCATTCCAGATATAGAACTGAAGTTGGCTAATAAATTGAAGGATATTGTCAAGCGTCACCAGGTAACTGTTAAATAGCATACTTTAAAACAAGTGTTTTGTCAGTTGGGAGATAAAACGTATTTGCCCGACTTCAACGTATCAGTTACATCTGGATTGTGTCTGACAGCACAAGGCAGCAGTGAGTCACCTAAGACCAGAAGTTCACCGTTTGTACCGTGCCATTAGTAGTTACCTTCACACGGAGGTTGAATCATAACTGTGCTCTAAAAGTAAACCTGAAATTGCTGTGGAGGGGAAAAGTTGCGATGGTGTCTCGGTGAGTTGGCTGCAGGCCCAAGCTGATTGAATGTTGAGTACCTGCTTATGTAAAGCAGAAGCTTGCTGGTCGTGCAAGTCTGAGACCAAAGGAGGTAGTGAGTAACACAGCTGTTCTAGGTAGCGGGGACAGCCTAAGGGAGCTTTTTAATCTTAAAATGATCGCTACCTTTTTTTGCTTTATTTTACTTGCTCTTTTCTTGATTGTGCTGAATAGAACACAAGGAACAAGGTCCTTCCTTGTTACAGGTAGCGTATTGCCAAGAGAATCGATGTGTTGTCATTGTAATTTAATATAGTAAATGATGGATTGAACAAGATTAATAGCTTCATCTCTTCGAAGTGTAAACAGTCTTTTCACTTGTCTTGAGAGAAATGTCCTGGAATGTGAACTCTAGATGGTCGGATAGCCTTTTGTGTTATGATAATTTGCAGCTGTAGCCAAAATAAACTGTTGCTCTTCCAGATTAAATGTATTTCCTGTGTTGTCATTATGAGCCATGGTCTCAACTTCAGTTGTGTAATCTTTCACAAGTTACTCTTAATTATTCAGCAGTTTCAGGATGCTTGCTATTGCTTAAATTAATGATTCCACTTCCCTTTCATAGAGGAATTCTGGAGTGAACTCAAAGCATGCTATATCCATGAATGATTTAAGGGACTTTGAAAGCAAGCAGCTTTATCTGTAAAGCAATGTGAAGAACTGAAAACAGAAGTTGTCCCTAATTCTGCTTTTTGGGCTTTCTTCCTTTGCCTTACCTCTGAATTCTCAGCTTGTATTTGTGTTGCTCCCTGTGCTTGCTCACTGCCTTGATTATTTTTACCTTTTTTTTTTTCTTTTTTTCCCCAACTGTGGTGTCATCCTCCCTTTACCCCACCCCCAGGACCTGTAGCTCCCCGCTCTCTGGCGTTTCCGAGCCCTCGCTGCCCTGACCACAGCCCGTGCAGAGGAGCTGCACGTCTGCTGCCCCAGCACAGTGCTACTGTGCTCTCTGGGCTTATAAAAAGTGGTGTCAGTAAGATGTTTGTTCTCTGCTGGTGAAGGTGCTGTCACTGTTTCTGGTAGTCACGCTTTTTCTGATTTTCTTTATAAATGTTGAGGATTCCTCTGAGAAGAGCCAGAGTAATAATTTAGGAACTTGAAAGCAGGTAATGAGTGAGATTTAGCATTTATATCTATCCACTTCAGGAAAAGCATTTTGTTGGTAGAGACCTCTTCCATCTTGTTATGCCTTTAGCTTCCAGTTACATTCAGTTTTAGCAGAGGCAGGGAATAAGCCTTATAATCTCCTTAGATCTTTCAGAAAGCTATTTTAATGTAAGGTTTTGTTTCCATCCTTTTGTTTTCAGTCCAGATAGCATCTAGGAGAGATTTCCTGTTCATCTATTGTGTATTCATTTTTTAAAGCTCCATAGGAAGTAGATGAAACTTACTGATGTGATTCACAAAGCTATCTAGAGAAGTTTCTTTAGCTCATGGGGAATGAAGGGAGAATTTCCATTATTCCTTGAACACTTTGCAGGTTCTTCATTCATGTCAGGGCTCTTCCCTTTCCCTTTGAACACTTAATTCTTCTTACTTTCCATCTTTCTTTTTTTGCTGTTCCTCAGAGCACCTCCTCTCCCTTTACCCCGTTCTGTGAACTCTTGTTGGTGTAGGAACTCTTGCCTTTTAGCCCTTGATAATCAGGGTAGTCTCCAGATACTGCCGCCGTAATGCGATGCATCTCCATGCTCTTCTAATTCTCTTTTTTTGATGCTGTCTTTTAAATCAGTTGAGTCCATATTGTTGCTCTTAAGGAACAATATTGTGGTTTTAAGTCCTTCAAATAAATCTGTCGAGTATTTATGGAATGTAAATTTTGAATAACATTTTCATACAGACTTTTCTGAAACATAACTCCTCTGCAGAGGAGTCTGCAGACTGTGAATTTCTGCTGTCCTTGGAAATGACTCTTCGTATATGGAGACTGGAGGCGTCTCTGCAGCATGTGGGAGAATCCTTATGGTTCTCCATGTGAGGCAGGGACAGGGTTTTCTGGTGCAGAGGAGGCCACGGAGATGCTGGGGGGGCTGGAGCAGCTCCCCTGGGGGGCCGGGCTGAGAGAGTTGGGGGGGTTCAGCCTGGAGAAGAGAAGGCTCCGGGGAGCCCTTCGAGCGGCCTCCCAGGGCTTAAAGGGGGGACAGGAGAGGGGGGGAGGGACTCTGGGTCAGGGAGTGGGGGGATAGGTTGAGGGATTGTGGTTTTAAGTTGAAAGAGGGGAGATTTGGTTTAGATATAAGGAAGAAATTATTCTTTGTGAGGGTGGTGAGGCGCTGGCCCAGGGTGCCCAGAGCAGCTGTGGGTGCCCCCTCCCTGGAAGGGTTCAAGGCCAGGTTGGACGGGGCTGGGAGCCCCCTGGGCTGGGGGAAGGGGGCCCTGCCCGGGGCAGGGGGGGGCACTGGGGGGGCTTTAAGGGCCCTCCCAGCCCAAACCAGTCTAGTGGACTGGCCACGCTAAGCGATGTTAGGTATTTATTTAACAGATACCGAATTATGTAGTAGAATGTTCTTGCGGGTTGATGTAGCTCCAGCAGGAATATAATTATGACCTGTACCCCTATGCAGAGAAATTATTTAATGTACCACCGTTTGTGGCATTTACATAAGCATGAGAAGTACATCTGTTGCTTCTCATATGTCAAGAAAATGCTGTCCTACACCAGCAAGAAGAAAAAGTACTTCCGTGTTTCAGTATTTGACAAACAGCGGTATCATGCTAATGTATTTCTGATTTATTCCCTTTGTTCTATGATTTAGGAGGCTTTTTTGAAAGGGTGTTTATTCTGTCTCTTGACAAACAGCCTTTCCTGAATACTAAGGATGTTCTATTCAAGGCAGCCATTTCTAGTTAAGTTTCTCATAGACTTCTATCTTATGGAAATTGTCATATTTAGAAATTGTTTCGGACTAAAATATGTACTTAGTGGAAAAAAGTTACAGATGCTTTCTTTCAGAATATTCATCAGTAGATTTGTATGAACTGGTAGTTGAACAATTTACAGTGAGAATTGGGGCAGAAGGAGCTAGGAGAAGAAAGGATTTGAGTTGAAAAAAGCAAGAGATGACAGTAGTTTGTAGCAGTCTTAAAATAATTGTCTTTTTCTGGCATTTCTTAGATGTGGTATTTGTGGTTGCATTGAAGTTAGCCTTGAGTATTTCTAGGTTGCATGGGATGTGGGTAAAAAAACGCAGCTGAAAAGCTTGGGGTAATGGGTTGAAGATTTCTCATGCAGTTCCTTCTTTTCTTCCACCTTTCTCACAGGGAACAGTAACTGAAGAGAAATCAAAGGCTACCCACCATGTTTATCCAAGTCCTACCTCAATGGATGATGGTAAAGTTGCTTTCAAATTTTTAAGTGGAAATAGTCTTGTAACTAAATTCCATGAGCGCTTACGGGAGCTTTCACACAGAAACAGAATGTTCCCAGCCTGCTCCTTGGAGCCACTGGGAAAGTATTTCTAGGTTTAACAAGTCCAAATAAAATCAGTGTGTCCTGCTTCTAACTACTGGGTGTTGCATTCACATTTTTATTTGGTGCAACATTTTCAGATTAAGGTGTGTAGCACTGAGTACTCTTCAGTAATTGCATTGGAAAACGAGGTATCATTTATTGATGAATGCAAATAGACATATTTTTTTTTGTCCTAATTAACTTGCAGGCTGAAGGGCAGCAAAGCTAAGGGTCTGGAAGAACTTGAAGAAATCAACTTAGTTTAAAAATGAAAAGAAAGGACAGTGCAAGTAGGGGGCTTAAAACTAAAGTTTCTTTTTTTTTTTTTTTTTTTTTTTCTTTCCCCCGCCCCCCCCCCCCCCCCTTTTGTTCCTTCTGTAGCGTCCTCCAGTGTGTGAGTATAGGTCAGAATGTTGAGTGAAACATTATATAGGAATCAACTACATGTGTGAAAGGTAGAGAGATGCTAAAGTAAATGAGACTCGAAACACTGTCTGCTGTGTTCTCGTCTTTCCAGGTGATGGGTTGGGAATGCCGATCCACATCGTTGCATGTGGTTTGGCAAGGTGGACACCAGAACACGGGGACCGGATAAATGGAGATTGTTGGCTTCACATAGAGGCAGACTGCATTATAAACACAGTACATAGGTTCCACAGAAGCAGTTTAGCAGCTGCATCTTTCAGCAAATAACGAAAAACTGCTCTTAAGTTTTTCATCTTAAAATCGATTTAACTGTCTAGCGGATGGCTGCTGTCGAGGCTGAGCTTCACTGACACAGCTCAGCTTTTCCTGATCTGCCCTGGCAGTTGGTGGCCACTAGATGGAAGTGCTTGCCCCTCGGTAGGAGCGATCGATCGCGGGGTGTGTGTCCTCGGGGGCTTGTCTGTGCTCCCGACCTCTGGTAGTTTCATGCCCAGCCACAGGTTTGTGTTTATCTTTAACCACTTCAGGTTCTCATAAAAGGGCTGAGCATAGCAGGTCCCATCTGCCTTGTAGCCAGTGAACATGTGGATGCGCGAGAGCTCGCGTAACCCCTGATTATACCAAGATGAGAAAGCAGCCATGAATTCAAGCAGCGTAACTTCATACAGGTTCAAAGCCTCGGGGTTTCTCCTTTAATCCTGCTCTGGGCCATATTCTCAATATTTGGGTTGCAAGGGGTAGGTTACCACATGGTGTCAGATGTGCAGTTTAAAAGAAAAAAAAAACAAAACCTTTAAAGCACCAGTCAGACTGAGCATGTGCCTTATTGCAAAATCAGCAAAGTTGCTCTGATAGCCTGTTGTAACTCGAAGTCCTTATTAGCACTGCTGCGAAAGAAGGAGGTTGAAATCCCAGTTCTGTTAAACTCTTGGAAATTTTTTTATTAAAACCTGTTTCACCACCACTCCATGCCCCTCACGTTCTTCCTTTAAAAAGTTCCTTCAAAACGCTTGGGTTTTTTCAACACCTATTGAGAATAGAATTTAGTACTGAGAAGAGAGGGTCTTGTGAAATAAATGTAAATCAATAGAAGGTAATGAGGGGATTCAGCTGTCTAACAAGGATACAGAAAGACACAGGGGAAATATTTACCACTTGACAAGAAAGCATTTTGGGAGAAGTTTAGTCTTTTTGTTTATACAAAGATTTTTTTAAAAAGTGACAGATTAGGACGTGTCTCTCTCTCTCCATGTTATTTCTGCTGTCTTTACTGAACGTCCTCTTGGCGAATTTGCTCTGTCCCATTCTGAGTTCCTGGCCCAGCTGGCCAAGGAGGTTGGGAGATGGGACGGGGTGAGACGAGCTGGCAGAGGACCGTGCTTCCACCCGTCAGCTAGAAATGCCTCTGACTGTTTCAGGCCTCTTGGGCTCTTAATCTGGAGCGTGTTAGGGTATGACTGTACGTGGCCTGGAAAGGAAATGTAGTAATTCTTAGCATTAAAAGGACTTTACTAGCGTAACATCTGTGTCGTGTACAGACAGAGCACATGAATGCTTTAACACAGACAAGGCAGGCGAGTGTATTACTGTGGCAGGCCAGGCCAATGTGGTAGCACCTCAGTAGACTTCTGTCAGAGATGATTGCAATAACTTTACTATGGCTGTGGAAAACCAAAACAGTGTTTAATGCGCTTTAACAACCTGAATCTGACGCTAGATTTCTTTCCCCTTTGCAGATGAATGGTTGAGACCTGTGATGAAAAAAGACAAGCAGGTGCTGGTACACTGGGGCTTTTTTCCAGACAGGTAAAGAAAGGTGGGGGAAGGAAGCAGACGCAAAAATCTTACTTAAGTTTGTTGAAGGAAAAGTCTTGATTAAAACTTGCAAGTAGGAGAATTTATGTTCTCAAAGGAGCTGCTCGTTCATCTTGCTGAGTCTTACCTCCCCGAGTAGCAGTGCTCCGTGGCTGTCAGTAGTGAACCTGGGGGGGGGCTGTGTGGGCTACAGCTACAGGTCTTTGTGTGTTGTGCAGCATACGACAGGCTCAGACCCGCCTCACGCTGGCTTGTCTAAAAATTTAACCCCCAAAAAAGTACTGCATTCCTGTTGGTTTAATTCTGAGTGATTCTACACTGCTGTTCACGTGGAGACGAGCAGTGGTTCTGTTATGGAGTATAGCCACGCAGTAATTTAGTATTGCTGCCATTTACCTCGATGTCCAAAGCCTGCAAACACGTAGTCAGTGGTTTAAGATGTGGAAGTATGCATACCCATCGGTGATGCTGGCGGGTGGGTGAGGTTAGAAAAGGAGAGTCTGTTTTTCTGCAGAGCCCCACTAGTAAGGGTGCAAACTGAACCAGACTTTCAGAGGGCAGAAGGAGCCTTTCCATAAAGTCAGTAAGACTTGAAAGCCAAAAGGGAGAACTTGTAATCACCTAGTTGAACTTCCTTTGACAACAAGAGATTTCACTCCACGGGTTGCCTTCAGTCAAGTGCGAGTGACTGCTGAAAGCACATAGGAGAAAGCTGTCTTTTGTTAAAAGATGTTAAAAGACAGCGTGTGTACTGTTAGTAACTTAAATGTGTTTGCAATAACTGATTTCTGAGTCCAGGTTATGGAAACCTCAAAAGATTGATGACCCAGCATTGGCTTCTGTTTAAGTAAAAACCTAAGAATCTAAAAAAATGGGCTCTGCTGTACGTGCGCAGAATTCTCAGGAACCATATGCATATTTCAGTGGAAGAGAGCAAGCAACAATCATGCTTAGATTTCTTCATACAGATGAAGAACCTTTAAATCTTTTTATATTTATATCGTATTAGTAGCCAAGTTTGTGTCGCCTCTGTATATGTATTTATAAATATCAGTATAAACATGAGGAATGCTATATACACATCTTTTCTTGTATATGACTTACGCCTGTTGCTCAGTATGTGCCTGGTGTTGGTTACAAACTGTTTTGGCTTTTGCTGTTATTGAATGTGGTTTCTTCATATTTATAAATAGGCTTTTGAGGGAATGGCACGTGGAAAAGTGACTGTAAATAATAGATGGTTTCTGCAGCAGTAGGGATTGAAGGAGAGGATGCATGCTGCTCCTAGAAATCCCGTATCTCTTGCTTTAAACTGATAAGAACAGAAACAAGTTAATTGGCTTAATGCCAGGGTTTGAACAGGTGACTCAGAAACTGCGTTTATACCCCTGAATCTGGAGAATAGATTTGCAATTTTAAGCTGGAGCTGACTTCACTGAGATGGCTTTTAAAGTCAGAAAGTTAAAAATGTGTATTAGATACCTTGAGCCCCTCCCTTTTCCGTGCGTCCTGTTCCTGTAGCAGAAACCAGGGACTATTCCTTGACCTTTTCGCTGAGTGGCAAGGACTTGGCCGTTCTGGCCCAGCACTGTGATTTGCACACCCAAATTGCTGAACACGTATCCCTGCTGGTGATCTTTCTGGATGAACAGCCCAAGGGACCAATTTTGTTTTCTCTTGTCTCTCTCATTAGCTATGACACTTGGGTTCATGCCAATGAAATAGATGCTGAAATTGAGGATCCTCCAATTCCTGAAAAGCCATGGAAGGTAAGTCTCTTAAACAGTTTCCGGGAGGTTCTGTGTTGGTGTAGCTCCTGCTCAGGTGCTGCTCCATAGACATTTTAACGTGCTGCTGAGTAACAGTGGCTGCATTTCCATAAATGTGGAAAAGCAGAGGGATATTTCCAGGGCCGTAATGAAAATGCCCAAGACGTTTATTTGAAAAATAAAAAGGACAGGCTTATGCATCTCTGATAGTGCCAATGTTTATTTTGGCCTGGCTTGAGGTGTTTTCTGTTAAAGGCAAGTCCTTCCCTTACTGCTGAAGTGCAGCAATCTCAGGGATGAAACCTGATAACTCATTAGAAGGCATAATGCCATTATAGAATGGTGAAGGAGAGGTAGCAGGGAAAGTACCATATCTTCATTATGTTTTTGGAAGAACAATGTTAGAGGAAAGAACTCTCAGGGTAGAAACCTGAGATTACCACATATGCGTTACAGGACTTAAAACTATTTTAGAAAAAGATTAACTTTCTGCACACAAAATCAAAGAAATGGCAAAAGATACTGGGAGTTAGACGATAATATGGTGATTAAGAAACTGCTTTAGGAGAACAAAGCGGAATTTGTGAAGTCTGTGGTACAATTGAAATCTTGTTTGTTCTTGGAGTTATTGTAATGGCAGCGTGACTTCCAGCAGGTTCAGGTATTGGGATCAAGATAGAGCTGTGGTCTGGCTGCCAGATCACGCGTGGCCGTGGGCTGCCCCGTCCCCTGGTTTCCCACTGCCACGGAAGCTCTTGAGGTCCTTTGTCTTGGCTGAGGACCGCTGTAGGTACCGGCTCCTCTATGCTCTTAGTACAGGGCACAGATAAAGTTTCTTGATTCTACTAAAATCCTCGGCATTGCTGATGGATCGTTGTGTGTGAATGCAGCTGTCCCTTGAGGTAGAGCCAAGGTGGGAGTGAATGAGAAATCCAGTAGCTGGTTAGGGAATCCCGGAGGGCCGTGTCTCAGCTTCCTTTACGGAAGGGTTTCATTTAATGGGAACTCTGCTCTTAACTGATTGCATAATGATGCAAAAAGTCAGCGTTTCTCCATCGGTTGGATGTGTGAGCACTCAAACCAACACCAGCAGCCTTATTTGGGTTCTCTACATAGTTTTCTTTGTAGAGGAACAATTTGCTTTTCTGATTTAGTTCATTGCAGGAGAAGGCTGTAGAGCAGTTGCAATCAAACAGTAGTAATTACTACTTTATTGTTCTTTTTACTGGACTTAATCTAATATACATAACATGGGATGTTCTGTGTGTGTGCTGTTGATCTGAACAGCAGAGTTGAAGAGCAGCTCAGGTCAGAAAATAACTTGATGACTGTTCAAACACTACTTACTCCAAGTAGTTACCTGTAAATAACTGGAACACGTTTTTTGTGTATAAATCTTACTATAAATAGTAAGATATAATAGATTGTATGAATCATAGATTCTGTGATTCTAAAGCTCAAGAATTTATTTTCAGCTATGTAAACTAGAACTTTATTTGGATATTTAAAGTCAAGATGGTCAATCTTTTCTTTCCAAGATATGGCCAACTCTTCTTAGTTTTTTTGTCTCTTGTGGAACATCTGCTAAGCTGATCTGCATATTTAGAATATTCTGATGGTAATTTTCAGCATTCACAGTATTCTCTTAATACAGAGCCAATGTCCCATCTGTGAGAACTGACCTCACACTTCAGAGGGTTAAAAATGACAGAGGAGCAGACATGACATTCAGTAGACTTAGTCATGTTCATCCTCGATTGTATTGCCTCATGAAACTGTCATCTGTTATGTGTAAAACCATTATGAGATATTTGGACATTCAGACCCTGATAAGAAAGCTGCAGGTATTTCCTTCATCCTCTGAGTTCTGTCATGGAAATACTTTTTTCAAAAAGCATTAGCATGTTGATATGTTCTTTAGGTTCATGCCAAGTGGATTTTGGACACAGATATTTTCAATGAGTGGATGAATGAAGAGGATTATGAGGTAGATGAGAACAGGAAATCAGTGAGTTTTCGACAGAGAATCTCCATGAAAAATGAAGAGGTAGGTGGTTTTTCTGCTTAATTAGTGACCTGTTGATATATTAATAAGTCGAATTTCTGGGACTCGAGGTTGCTAAAGTTAAGCTGGTTGAACAGTTTGAGGTGCCTGTGATGATAACACAGCCTAGTTTAACTTCCTTTTGACATACTTCCTTTATCCAGATGTGTAAGTGTGCACTCTGATTTTTATTTTTTTTCCCCCTTCCTGAGGATGGGATAGGACCCACTCTGTGCTTTCTCATAAATGAAGCCAGGGGTGTGTTAAACAGCATCGGTTAATACTTGATTTCTGAATTCTCTGTACTTGTTGTAACTAATTTTTGTATCCTTCCCAGTGCAGGAAGTTAGTTAGGACTCTGAAAACACCTTCATTTAACCTAGGGGCCAGGCTACTCGATAGGAAATCTCTCCTGATGGATGAGAGTGTATTGAACAAGTCACAAATTAGTATTTGCCTTTTGCTCTGTTTTAAGAGCACAGTTCTTAAGTACACAACTATTGCAGCATCTGGGGGATGGCTGTCGAAAATTCAGGGGTTTTCATGTTGACAAGTGGAAGTATTCTGGAGCTGAATGTGGTGCTTCTTGTGATATTATTGCTTTTAGCTTCTCTGTTGTAGGGTGTATTAAGGAAGAGTGTAGCCTACAGCATTTCAATAACTGCAGTATTTGCTATGAGCTAACTACTTCACTCCTCTAACAGCCTGTACGTAGTCCAGAGAGGAGAGACAGGAAGGCAGCAGCAAGTACAAGGAAGAGAAAGCATTCTCCTTCTCCACCCCCCACTCCTGTGGAGTCGAGAAAAAAGACAGGGAAAAAAGGGTAAGTATCTAAGCCCTGGAATTTGAGGCAAATTTTCTTGAAGAAATCCTTATGGGGAGATCTGTCACTTTTCACTTGTCTCACCTTAGATTACAGTAGAATAATTATTTCTACAATAGACTTGAGTGATTTTGCTTGTGCAGTATATGTAATTTCTTTACTCCTCCGTAGAAATGTATTGCCTGCAGGTGGAGGAGAATCTAGTGCAAGTTGTCACGCTGTCTGTGTCCGAGAGGGTACATTGCTGCCTCAAGAGTAGAACTTACCAAATGAGAAGTTACTCAGCTGCTTCTGAAGTAACTCAGACTAGTTCTGTTAGTGCAATCATGTAGTGTACACTTCCTGAAGTAAAGCCCCATGAATTACTGCATTTAACTGAAGAGGTTTATTATCTACGTGGCCATATATTTTAAAGTCCAGTTCTCAAACGCAGCTTTAACAGAGTAGCACTTGTGGCCTACAGGTGAGGATTTTTTCCAATTCTAGTTTGATTGCTTCAACAAAAAAAAAAAAGGCCAATGTTAGATCCAAGTAAAAGCTGATTTCTGGGGGTTTATGTGTGGATATGGAGGGGAGCACTTTTTAACAAAAAAAAGTCAGGTCTTGTTTAATAGACCTGTTGGGCTCTAAAACAAAACGGGAAATGTATCATCTGAGGTGAGAAACAATTAGGGTGATAATCTGAATTACTTTTTCGTTGCACATGTAAAGCCTGAGTTAGATTCTGTAAGGAGAGGTGTGGATGATTCTGCCTTTGTTTCAACGGCTTCCTCGGTGCACAGTGAGGATCATACAGTCCAGCCTTTCTCCTTACGCAAGGCAGCGTGTCTTGAAATGCTCCGTTGTCTCCTCTGGTCTGTGCAGCAGATGCCCTTGTTGTACCTTCAGAAAGGACACATCTAAGTGAATTTGCTGCCTTGAATCTCCCTGGTGTGCAAGTGCTGCCAACAGGCTGGAGACAGTTTGGGGTTGGAGTCAAGATTTATATACGGCGATGGTCCTCAGTCTTGAAACAGTTTGGGGTTTGGTTTTTTTGGTTGATTGGTTTGGTTTGGGGTTTTTTATTGTTTGGGGGTTTTTTTGGTTGTTTTTCGGTTTGTTTTTTTTTTTTTTTACTGAGCTTACTTTGTCTCAGTAATACAGAGAGGATATTTTTCATTAACCACCAGCACCACTTCCTACAGCATTCATGTTTTCATAAGTGTTTTAACCTAGTCCTTGAATCCTGATATCTGAAGAATAACGTCAAGATGAGAACATCTGACAGTTGCAGCTGGCAGAGAATTTGTGTGTGATCTGTTTTAGACAAGCAGCCTTATATGGGAAAAGGAGAGGGCAGAAAGAAGAAGACGAGCAAGAAGATCTTACAAAGGACATGGAGGATCCCACACCAGTACCTAATATAGAAGAAGTGGTACTTCCCAAAAATGGTAAAATATGCATACACTGCATTCTTTGAATGTTATAACAATTGCTTAAACTGCACTGAAAAATACTCATGTATTTTGTCAAATCTTTGCAGTACTTTGTGGCCATGGGGCCAGGTGATCTGCGCTCGTCTAAATTTACCTAGTCAGGGATTTGAATGTAACAGCTGAGAAGGGGAGCAGATTCATCTTCTTTTGGCTTTTTGAAATACTTCTACGAAAATCCATTTAAATGTTTAGTTTCATCTACTTTAGGGTTGCTCTCATGCATTATACAGAGTTCATGTTTTGGGGGATGTAGTTTTCTGGAGCAAAATAATCGTGTGCCAAGTCCCCAAGATAAGCATGTTAACTGAGTGGAAATTCTAGCAAAGTGCCAAATGCATTCAGTTCTTAATCCTGTTCAGAAAAGTGTTGATCTGTGCAGTACCTGTTAAGTAAAGATAAGTCAGAAAAATAATTCCTTCCATCAAGTCCTTGACACCAAACTATTTTGGGTGTCACACCATTTGGTTTTTGTCTGGTGTGAACCTCTGTGTAAGAATTGTTACATGTTGTACAGGTGGATAAAGTACTTGGTCCACTAACTGCATGAATAGACGCTGCTTTGTGTTCAGATGTGAAATTCCAGAGAAATCAAACAAATGGTCTGTTGTACTCGGGCTGCATAGATGAACTCTTCTGAACTGCAAGGACACGACCAACAAAACGATTTATTGATAAGATAGCAAAAGCATGCTAGACTTTGATAATTGTATCTTGTCTGCTGGTTACTCATCAGGGTTTCAATCTTGCTTATTTTTGTAGTGAACCCAAAGAAAGACAGTGAAAACACACCTGTGAAAGGAGGAACAGTAGCAGACCTCGGTAAAACAAACGCACAACACTCGCCAGCACCCCGGCCCCTAAATTTTATAATAAAGTCTTGCTTGCAGGCCAACAGAGTAAATATTTTCAAATCTGCCAATTTTTAAAGGAATCTGTCCTTCTACTTTTTTATTGAATTAATTCAGTTTTCATTTGTATTTTGAGTTGACATATTGTCTCTTTTTCACTTGCAAGGCTGTTCCCTCATAGGCATCTCTGGTTTTTACTTAATTTTTTTTTTTGTGGCATGTAAGCTCTTCCCTGGCAGAATTTTTCTTTTCTGCATGGGAGTCAAGGTGAATCACGGGTTCCCTGAGCTTTGCTAAGCCTTTCATAGGAGTGAGATAAACTAGTGTCCTGTATCCTGTTACACAAGGCTACAGCTAGGGCACTGGGAGAGGTGGTAATTAGGTATGGATTCCGAAGTGTGGAAAAATTCTAATTATCATTCCTCTGTGTTCTTATCTGTTCCCTTGTCTGTGATAGTTGAGTGCCTGCATGAGGACAAGATTGCCTTGATCATGTGTGGTCCACTTGGGCTTCTTCCTCACTTCCCTTCCAAAATACATGAAATACTCTTCCAATTAAGCAATTACATTGCTAGGAAAGCTTATTTATGAGCAATCAGATGCTTTTTATTAGTATAATTATCAATGCTTTTACCTTTCAGATGAACAGGATGAGGAGACAGTGGCAACTGGAGGAAAGGTAACAGCAGCTGTTTCTTACGAAGTTTGGTAGAAACTGAGATCATAAAATCACAGGCTGGTTTGGGCTGGGAGGGCCCTCAAAGCCCCCCCAGTGCCCCGCCCTGCCCCGGGCAGGGCCCCCTTCCCCCAGCCCAGGGGGCTCCCAGCCCCGTCCAACCTGGCCTTGAACCCTTCCAGGGAGGGGGCACCCACAGCTGCTCTGGGCACCCTGGGCCAGCGCCTCACCAACCTCATCATAAAAAATATCTTCCTTGCATCTAGTCTAAATCAACTCCCGTTCAGTTTCAAACCATTACCCCTTGTCCTATCAAGATCTTAATCTTATCTTCAGTAACTTAGCCTGTAATGTTTTTCAAGTGATACATAAGATTAGTTACTGGTAGGGATGTTGTTTTGCTGCTATAAAGATTCTACAAATACTGTGTGGTTATCTTGTTTTTTTAAATTTAATACACTGAAAGTGAGAATGAGGAAACAGATGCAAAGTGTTTTCAAAACAGCATTTTTCAGATGCAAGGTTTTTCGAAGGTTATGCTTTTTCTTTAGGTTTCAGGACCAAATCTAAACCTCGAGTAGGCTTCCTGATCATTTTAATAGAGTTGCTAGGGTAGTTTCTATATTGAATTGCATTGTTGGTATGCCAGGCACCGTTTTTAACAGCCTGCCTAGTATGTGATGCCTGCCTGATGGTGCAGGTAAGAGAAGATCACATCTGTGTTAGGATCATACAGTTGGAGTCCTGCACAGTTGCTTGGATGTCTCCTTAGTTAGAAGAAAATCTGACTTTCCATACTTTGTATTTCTAGTTCTACCTTACTTCAGTTTATACATCCAATTTATTCATGTGTTTTCAGAAGTGCTCAAAAATCCTTTGTCATGCTTTAAAATGGGGAAGGATGGTAACTCTAGGTATGCAGACCACTGACTAGCTAGTCAGCGGCCTTTCTTTTAGTTTTTAGGCACTGCTGGATTTAAATATTTAGATACAGATAGGAACAGAGATCATCAAAATACGATCTTGGGCAAGCACTGTTTTCCCAGTTAGGGAACCCAACTCGGAAGGGACGTGACAGCAGGCTTTTCAAGTATGGGAAATGCTCTTTTCTTTCCGGTGCAACTTCTCCATCCCTGGGTTTTGCATGACCCAGAGCTGTGGGACGCGTGCAGCAACCTTAGTATTTGTTCCATGTTAGACTGGAAGGGTTTTGCTTTTTATGTCCTTTGCTGAACCGTGTTTTGGGGGGCTGTGGTCTGCCTCTCTGTTTACAGAGTGTATTTTGAGAGGAGAAGGGTGTTGGAAGTGGAGGGGGTGATGAGAGGAAGGACTTCTTTTCTGAATAGCTATTGTCAAATCACTAAGCATATTTAGAATGATACCTTGTTGTCATTGGGGGAATTTAGTCCCAGAAAAAGATACATCATTGGTACCAATGACTCTTAAGATCTCGCTTTAGGGACTTTGTTAGATTTCAGAGGAACAGAACAGGTTGTTAAAAATACCTGGATTAGTAATTTAGGTAAAGAAAAGCATTTAATGTTGAGTTGCCTACAGGCTCTTCAAATAGCACCGGAGGGGTTTTTGTACAGTTCATCTCATGTCCTGACCCCGTTTTTATACCATCTCTGTGCCCTTCTTTGTCCTTTTGGAGCAGGAAGCAAACGTGTGCTGGAACTCAAGTTGGAGAACAGCTAGTATTCACTGGAGGCTTCTCCTTGTGAAGCAACAGAAAGCAGCAAAGACTTGGCCTCTGCTTGGGAGTCTTGTAAAATCTTGCTCACTGGTGTCTTCCCACCCTGTACGAGCAAACTCTTGGGTCTGTTCCCCCTCTGAGGGGACACGAACGCAGGGACACGCAGAGTTACAAACTGAACTTAGTATCACTTCTTCACAGGGGAGAAATGTCCAATACCAACTTCAAGACTGATCAAAGTGAGTTTATCCAAGCAAGAATTCAGTGTAATGAAACACAGTTTTGCAGGCATGAAACTAGTGCTGCTGACACGTGTCTCCCAGTGAAAGTAGAAGTAACGAATCTGATTTCTTTTAATGCTTTTCTGAGGAGTGAGAAGGTTAGTGGGGGAAGAGTAGCAAAAAATACACCCCATCTTAGACAATATTAAAAACTGGTGCCATGTCAGTAACTGGAGGTGGCAGCGAGAGCTAGGCTGGCAGCTTACAACGGACTCTAGATTTGTGCTCTATTCATTGCACGTGGTTGCAGGATACTGCAGAGTTGAAATGCAGTGTTTTCTCCCATAGTTAGAGCACGCTTAATTTCACAAACAGAACACACAGTATCATCTGGCTGTACTGCCAACTATGAGATTTGAGAGCTGGCTCTAAAAACTTCTTCCTGGCCTTATGCTTGCTTTAATATTTTTATGACCACACTTTCTTTGCTCCCTGAGATCTTCCCCACTCACCAGAGATTGTGTCAGGAGAAGTTTATTCTGGACGGGGTTGGAGGGCGCTTGCTTTGGGCTAACTGTGCTGGCTGAGAGTTGGTAGGTACGTCTTTTGCAAGCTCCTAACCGTCATATTCCCTTGTGATACAGGAAGATGAAGATCCTAACAAAGGTGATCAAAGTCGGTCAATTGATCCAGGTGAAGATAATGTCACAGAACAAACCAACCACATCATTATTCCAAGCTATGCATCTTGGTTTGACTACAACTGGTAAGAAAGTAATTGGGAACTGGGGTAAGACTTAGAGTTTTGGTGGTTTTCTTATAACTCAAGCTGAGACCTGAAAGAAACTACTTTTGTGTAGGTCTAGTTTCCATGTATGGCTACATGTTTTCCATTTAAAAAATTCTTCTGAGCTGACTTCTGGCAGTTTTCAGGCATTGGGAACGAGAAAGAGAATTTCAAACAGTATAGATCTTCAGTCTGCCTTCTCAGAATCTTTTGCTTTACACTGATTTTTATTTTCCTCCCCCTCCCCCATGGGAAAAGAATTCCTTTTTCTTCCCTGCTTCTCTAGTCCTTGTATGATCTTTCTGTGTTTGTATTTACTTTCGAAAGCTGGCGGCTTTTTTATTTTGCTTCAGATCTTGACTTTGAGGATAAGTCACTGATTGTACAGGGAGGGTACTTGTTTCATTTTGGAATCCTCCTTGGAGTCAGAGGTTTGTGGTGTGCTGTGACCACGTAACTCTCTAGTAACCCTAATGTTCTCTTTACACTCAAACTTTTGTGGTGTGGGAGGAGGAGCAGGTGGTGGGGAATTAAAGTCCCTCTACAAGCTAAACTCTTAGGTAATATTTCTTTTAAATAAAATCTGCTTTGGAAATGGAATAAGGAATAGTCAGTTGTCTGGAAGGGCTGTCATTTGAGTGTGCGTTTGGTGTTGGCTCTAGGAGTTGAGACATTGTTTAGGCTGGAATCCAAAAAGATGTGCTGTGACACTTGAGTGTTAGGATCCACGTGCAATTTTCCAAACTGGATAACGTTTTATGGTAGTGGATTAAGAGGGGATGTGAACTATTAGTGTAAGGGTTAGTTCAGTTCCAGCTCTGGCAGACTTTGTTACCGTGAGTCAGTCGTGTAGCCTGTGTCTGTGCTAGTGGCTTGAGTTGACCTAAATCCCCATAGATGGAACCATCTGTTTTCTCAGTCCCATTGCTCTCCCACTCTGAAATGATCCTGGAAGCAGAAAAGCCAAGGATCACTCACATAGTCTGAATTTATAGGTGCTCCAGTTGCTTTGTGAGCGGAAAAGCTCGAGGTGGTGGTGTGTTACGCACGCGGAGTGAAACGCTCCACGGATGCACTTCATAAAGGGATAAAGAGCTGTGGGTCTGTGTGGATCAGGAAGGGCAACTTAGTGTAGCTCAAGCTAATGGAGCTTTGCTTTAAGCCGAGGTAGGCATATCTGTAGTCTCTGCGCTTCAATTCCTCCTCTGTAAAGTGAAGGTAGAATAATATTTCCCCACTGAGAAAATCATGACAATGACATTTTGTCATGACATCACTCTGACAGCATTATTACCAGTCATGCCCAAAAAGCATTTGTACAATGTTTGATTAAAAATTCTTGATTGGTGCGTTTGTAGCAGCAGCAGTAGTTTTAATGGTGTTCCTGATTGCTGAAATCTCACAGCTCAAAGACTAATGTGGTGTTTCTGAGGAAACAGCATAAACTTATCACTGCATCAGGTGTACTTGCTCTGACCTTGGGAAAGGCAAACTTAAAGCATCTCTGACAGGAACAGTGGGCATCCACAAGGTAGCAGGTTGATGTGAAAAGAGGCTTTCATTTTGGATTCTAGTGCTCCAGAAATGGCACGTTAAGCTGATTTGGATTTAGGGCTGAAATAGCAGCACAGCTGTGAGACAGACATTTTTCTGTCTCTGTGTCCAGTAGCAACTAATTTAAAGCAAGCTGAAGAATAATTCTGATCTCCTGCTCTCAAAACGTCTTATAAACTGCTGCTGTAGAATTGCCCTTGCTGAAATTAATTTTCTAGTAAAAAGATAAATTTTATTTAATGCTCAGTTCAATTTCAGTGTAATCTCTTACGCTTTGGACAACTTCATTGCAAGAACTAGATAATTTGTCTGTTACTAAAATCGGAACAGTTTATTGGTTAATCCTCATTTTCAAGTTAGAGTTCCTGCAAATGACAAGAGTAATTGGTATCAGCATAAAAGGATAATTGCGCGGTAGGTTAAAAGCTGAACATACAGGAGAAACATACGGTTTCCTTTAAAAGTAAAAGTTCTTAAAGGATCATTGTAGTTCTCCAGATTTTAACTTCCATAAAGTATGTGCCATTCTACAAGATTCTGTCTTTAAGTTACTCAAGTGCTGCATTTCTGGCACTTTTTTATAAAATGGAGGTTTTTTTAATCTTGAAGCTATTTTCTCAGTAATAGGTGGGTTAAATCTTAGGTAGCTCAAAGAATTTGCATATTAAGATCTTAGAAAAGAAAAAATGAGTCGATTAATCAAGTTCCATATACTCTGGCTGTTTACTTGCATTATAATTTTGATTTGCAGTGAAAACCCTCATATATCACATTGTGTCGTGGATAACACAAAATGATTGTGTTCATTTGTTGCTGGTAGAACTCCACAGGTGCAATTACCCTGCAATTAAAACGTTTCAGGAACAAATTTCCTTATTTATGTTAAAATAAATCATATCACTTCCTCCAATCCTTTATTTAGAACGTGATTTCATAAGTTTCTGCACTGCTATTTATGTTGTCGGGCTGGCAGTACGTGCAGAATGGAAGATTCTACTAAAAGAACATTTAAACTTAAATATTTGACCTGGAACAGCTATGGAAAGATAAAAAAATGTATTGGTCAAATAACTAAAGCTGAATTTTCTGTGATCTTTACCTTAGTTTATTTTATCTAATGCATAGCATCTCAGATGTTGTTAGTTCTGCTCTCCCATATGTGGTCAGTTTTTGCACCATATTTCTTCTTCAGAGTGCAGAGGGGAATAATTACTTTAAAGACAGTGTTTAGTTGCTCCAAATATCCATGCTTTGGATTTTTTTTTTCCTCGACTGACTGGGGGATATTAGCAACGTTCTCGAAGCCAGTCTCCTCCCTGACTTGTGCGCACTAGTAATTACTGTAGCTCCAACTCTGGAGTTGGGCTCTAAGCAATTCCTTGCACTCCCATCTTCTAAGTATATACCATAAAATCTTGGTTTCTTTGAGGTATTGGTACTTTGCTGAGTGTTCACAGTAACTGCGTTGGAGAATAAAGGTGCTTCTGTCAGAACGCAGAACTCGGGACGGTTCTGAGCAGCACCTTCCCGAGTTTGGTTAGGGCAGTGTTGGGTGTGTGGTTTTGCTTTGATCAGTGACTGAATTTTGTGATGCTTATTTGATGAAAGAAGCAAATTTCCAAAGAGTTATGCTAGAATACCAGGGCTTCTAAGCAAAAAAAAAAAAAAAAAAAAAAAAAAGTAGTGCTTGCTATAAACATTCTCCTTCAAAGTAGTCCTTTGAAGGTGTGCAGAGTAATCCAAGATTATTTAGTATTTGGCATCTGAATCTTGTATTTTTGTTCCAGTATTCATGTGATTGAACGTCGTGCTCTTCCTGAGTTCTTCAATGGAAAAAACAAGTCCAAGACGCCAGAAATGTAAGTAAAACGTGAATATAGGCTTAAAGAGTGTGGCAGGTTAAAGGAGCTTCCAGTTCTGTGAATCCTGTGGTCGCTTCAGCTGTGCCTGTGTTACGGTGATGTTGTTTGTAGGGGCGTGGAAGAAGGGAAGAGCATCTGTACAACCACTTCTTGTAGCTTGATAACGTGTATGCATTATTGTATTAGAGGTAAAAGCTTAAATAATAAAGTAATAGTTAATAGTGGTTATCCAGGAGAAATAAAACTAGTTTCTCCTGAGTAATACTGGAACAAATTATTGAACTTTTTTGTGTGGTACAAGACACAATCATCTTCCAAAGACAGCTGAAAAATTTCATGACCCTGTAGAAACTTCACAGTCCTCCTTATTTTTCTCTCTCTCCTCGTGCCATGCTGTATTTTTGAGACTCAGCAGTTTTGTGTGTAAGCACTGACAGAGTTTGCTGCAGAATGCTGTGTCGGACTGTGGAATGGGCTTTGCACAGTTACCTGTGGTGATTTCATGGTTCCCTGAGTCACTGATGGGCAATTCTGAAAGTGCAGGTGAGGGTCAGAAAATGGATCTTCACAGGCTTGAGATGCAACTGTGTTTTCAAATACTAGGTAGTCTGATTTAAATCAGAGAGCTGCAGTTGTCCACTGCAAGAAGAAAAATATTTTTTCCTGTATAGCTGTTCCCAACCCTCTAGTGATACTTTAGTTCTAGACATGCCTATTAAATCTTGGTGAGTTCCCTCTGTTGAATTCCGATCCCGTTTGTACTTATTTCATCTCCTTGTGGGATCTGGTGTCTGCTGCAGAACTTGTGTTCTTCATTAATCCCTGAAGCTGTTTAAAACAAAAAAGAGAAAAGCTGATTATTGTCTTTAGGTATTGCAGGTTTTTTTCATACATTAAATGATTAACTTCTGATCTGACTTAGCAGTGTAACAAGGTAAGCTGCTGATTTTGCATCAGATGCTTATCTTGAGGCTCTGCTATAAGGCTTATGTGCATTAGTAAAAGTACACTTCCCGTTCTCAGAGAATTTTCTGTTAAAACAATAAATTTAGTTATTCAGAGCAATAAGAATCCAAGGATAGTTTGGGTGGGAAGGGCCCTCAAAGCCCCTCCAGTGCCCCCCCCTGCCCCGGGCAGGGCCCCCTTCCCCCAGCCCAGGGGGCTCCCAGCCCCGTCCAACCTGGCCTTGAACCCTTCCAGGGAGGGGGCACCCACAGCTGCTCTGGGCACCCTGGGCCAGCGCCTCACCCCCCCCCGCACAGGGAACAATTTCTGCCTTAGATCTCACCTAAATCTGCCCTCTTTCAGCTTAAAACCATCACCTCTCATCCTATCCCCCCATCCTCTGACAAAGAGTCCCCCCCCACCTCTCCTGTCCCCCCTTTAAGCCCTGGGAGGCCGCTCGAAGGTCCCCCCGGAGCCTTCTCTTCTCCAGGCTGAACCCCCCCAACTCTCTCAGCCCGGCCCCCCAGGGGAGCTGCTCCAGCCCCCCCAGCATCTCCGTGGCCTCCTCTGGCCCCGCTCGAGCAGCTCCGGGTCCTTCTGCTGTTGGGGGCCCCCGAGCTGGCCCCGGCACTGCAGGGGGGGCTCCCCAGAGCGGAGCAGAGGGGGACAATCCCCTCCCTGGCCCTGCTGCCCCCCCTGCTCTGGCTGCAGCCCAGGGCACGGGTGGGTTCTGGGCTGCGAGCGCACGGGGCTGCCTCACGGGCAGTTTTCCCCCCACCAGCCCCCCCAGTCCCTCTCCTTGGGGCTGCTCTCCAGCCACCCCTCGAGGGCCCAGCCTGGGTTTGTGCTGGGGATTGCCCCGACCCACGGGCAGCACCTTGCCCTCGGCCTTGTTGAACTTTGTGAGGTTCACACCTTGAAATTTTGAAAACTTTACAATCTTGAAAGGTGATCAAGTAAAGGAAGATGGTCAACAGCAGGTTTTTGAACAATGTGTTTGTTCCTATTAAAATGATAATCCTGAAACCTGAGAGTTCACATAAAAAATTTGTAAATTGCACACCACTGTATGCTTGTTGACTTGGACAGTGGAACTAAGCCAGTTGCGTTCACTTTATCTTGGTATCCAGTTTTGGTCTAGTTGTAGAGCAGCTTTAGGGGGATTTTAAACCAGTTCTTTTGAATCAGCTACTAAGTACTAAAGCATTTGAGGTGTCTTCTCAGTACATTGTCTTAACATCAGCAAAGCTGTGCATTTTCCCTTCTTCAGCAACGTTTCTTCAAACTAACTTTTTTTTCTTCATTTTCTTCTTGGTGCAAATGATAGTGGTAATATCCTGCACTGTTCTTTCGGCAGGTAGACAAGGCAGACTTCAGAGAGAGGGTTCTTCTCAAGCATGACTGTTACTTTGTGAGGCTTCTGATCTAATACTGAGATAGCACTTAGAAACAGCATTTTCAGTGTGGAGAAGAGATGGATCAGGAGACCTTACAGTAGTTGCCCAGTGCACAAGGAGGTTACTGAGAAGATGGAGCCAGGCTTGTTATTGAGGTGTGTGGCAGGAGGAAAACAAGTCAGACGGAAACACAGCAAGTTCTGTCTTGATAGAAGAGAAATTTTTATCTCTGAAGAAGGCAAAGCACTGGGATAGGGCCCGGACAAGTAGGGAATGTTCTTCCGTGGAGCCTTTCAGGCCTTGCTGGACAAAGCCCTAAGCAACCTGGTCAAAATTCAGTGCTGACCATCGCTGGAGTAGGAGATTGGCTCAGAGACCTCCTGAGGTCCCTGGCACCCTGAATGATTTTTAGTCTGTAATGTTTACTTGCAACTTCTCTGTATGGCTGAGTTGCAGAGGAACTCTAGCTGCATCATAGTGATCCAAAAGGTATTTGACGCTGACTCTGCTACGTCAGTTTAACTGTTCAGCATATTTTTGGTTTGGGTTTTCTAGGACTTGGTGTCTAAGGCTGCAAATGGGTTGAGTTGTGAAGGAATGCTTATCTTTCATATTTGCCATTGGTGTGGTCATCACATGTAACCCCATGCTTCCCTCTTCAGATGGCATCGAAACACCAGGTGTCCTGATGTCCGTGAGCTGGCTATTGCCCATGGGTGAAACAAATTAGGGACTCCTCCCGATCATGATGTTAGCTTAGAGATGTATTTTTGTTGCCATTTAGGGATTGTGGGAGTAGCATATGGTCTTGGCTTGGCGTTTTTAAATAAAATAGAAACATCCTTCTGAATGGAAATGTCTTGCCTCCAGCTTAGTTTTCAGGCCAAACAAAATACCGTGTTTCACAAGCTTACAGAGGTTCATTCATGTGACAATAATGCCTGCGGCGTAGTTTCTGTCTTAAAAGGGATTTTAACTAAACACTAACTGACTTGTCTTTCTTGCTGCTGACAAGTTTTAGCTGATGGGTCATGTCACTGTTGAAAACAGACTCACTTCAGGATAAACTTTAGGGATGTTTCTGTCTTAGGCTTCTCTCTTCACCTAGTAATGTGACCTTAACTAATTTCTGCAGCCAAGACTGCTTTAAAGTACCTATTCTTGAGCAGGTGGTAACCCAGTTCTCTCCAGGAGCATTCAGAAATGCTCCTGCATGTTCCTCTTTGGAAGAAGCTCCCTTTTTCACTTCCCTACCGACCATTAGGCGTGGAGGAGCCCAACACCTAGACCCATAACTTTTTTCCAGCAAGTTTCATACATAATTTGGTCAGAATGAGGACATGGGATTTTGGCAGGAATGTGTACTAACAGCATCTGTCTGCTTGTCTTGCCTGTGGAAGGCATTGCTGTTCCATCTCTGTATGATTTATATTGTTTGGTTACCAGCTACTTTTGCACACTGCATATGAGACATCTCCATCCTGAATCCTCCAGAGACAGAAATCTGCTTATAATACGCTGTTTCGAACACATCTTTGCATAGAATACTCACTTGTGTTTGACAGATTGGTTTTGTTCCTTCTAAAGAATGGGGGTAGCAGCAATTTTACGGTAGTTTATTTCATTCTGAACAACTTGTGTTAGGAAGCATCAGTACATTCCAGAAACTTACTGAAAATACTGAAAAAGCCTGTGAAGCAGTGTCTACAGTGCAGGAAACGGGCTGCACCCCGAAACCTGCTTACTTGGACTGTTGTGCACCAAAGAGGGGAATCTCAGGGGGGTCACTTCTGCTTTAGCTGTTCCCAGCTCAGAGAGTGGGGAGTGCTATGCAGGCTTCTGAGCTCTTGCCCTCTGCTTTTCAAAGATCTTGTTTTTCCCATTTTGCTGTTCTCTAACCTTTCCTCACTGATCTTTCTTTGCATTAAAAAGTCCACATGTGGAAACAGTAGTGTTCCATCCAGCGTGCTGCTTGTATTTTTCTGCGCAGTTGTTTTTATTCCGGGTTCACAGAGGGGATTGACAGGCATTATTTAGCCTGTTTCCACATGAATACCAGAGCCTAGTAATTTTTTCTGCAGCTAGTAGTCTGAGTGAGTACTTGGTTAGTGACCAAGCTACAGCTGTAATCAATCACAGAGTGAGTTGGAGCGGGGCAAGGGTCTAATTTTGGCCTGTCTCCACCAAGGATGCAATGCCTGTGTTGTAGAAACTGCGAAGATTCAGCCATCTACCCACCCCCCATCTTTGCCCATCTCACATGTTTGCACTAGAGCTGCAGCAAAGGCACGAGAGCAGCTGCTTGCTTTTCTCTCTGTATTAGTGCTGGAAGAGCAGATGTTTCAAGTTGTCCTGTCTTTTACCTTCTGACACTTGCAGAGTTATTATTACTGCAGCTTTTGCTTGCAGTCTTCCAAGTAGTTGAAGCAGCCATTTGAGTTGCTTAATTTCAAAGTTTTACTTGCCCGCAGCTATTTCCACACTTTGTAATTTAAGCGTGCTTTGATGTGCTGCTAATGCAAATGCAAATAAAATCCAGCGTGAAACAATCTGGAAGAGATGGGTCATAGTAAGCATCTATATTATGAAAATCTACTTACCTATTACTTTTGATACTGACTCATAAATTTCGTCTGCTGCTGTTCGCTTGTCAATAATACAGGTGTTTGGAGAAGGTGAATCCTAAAACACACTCGGAACTTTGTAGGACATGAGTGTACCTGAACTACCTGTCGATTGCCTTTCAGATACCTGGCTTACCGCAACTTCATGATTGACACCTATCGCTTAAACCCTCAAGAGTACTTGACCAGCACGGCCTGCAGAAGGAATCTGACTGGAGATGTGTGCGCTGTTATGAGGTAAAAGCCATGGATCTTTCAGCCACTGCCTTCACTTTAACAGAAAGAAACAGAAGCTGCATTAGGACTGGCAGTGCTCCAGCACGACAGCACAGGTGTGGGCAGTGCCCGTCATGCTGTTGATGAGCAGGCAGTTTCCCCACTTTTTTTGGTAGCCAGGCTATTTTACACTGTTCTTTATTTGTAATACCCTATCTGTTTGCTGAACCATGCCTGCTGAGTTTGGATCTTAACTTGTGATTCTTTCAGTTTCTCTGTTTAGTACGTACGTGGAGTTCTTCCAGAAATTCCACTTTTGCATCTCAGTTATGTTAGTTTTGTGGTTGTGCAGCCCTCTCAGTCCGTACGTTGTCTGCAAATGGTTCCAAGCCTCCGGGCCTAGCTTTGCTTTGCTTTTGTCCTTAATTAAGTAATTTCCTGTTATCTGTAACCAAAAATGTCATGCTTTGTTTTATGCAACATGCTGAAGTGCAGTCAAGTCTGCACCAAGCTCGTGCTCTGTGATCTCTATCACTGTTTGTGATTAGTGAAGGACTACAGAAGATTCTGGATCTGTGTTTGATCCAGAAGTGTAGCCTTTGCTGTCTGCTTTCTTCCGTGCCAAGCATAATCAGGGTTTTAGGTCTTCAGATTTTAATTTGTCATGTTGTTTCATAGAGTACATGCTTTTCTGGAGCAGTGGGGTCTCATTAACTACCAAGTGGATCCAGAAAGCCGTCCCATGGCCATGGGCCCTCCCCCAACCCCTCACTTCAACGTGCTGGCCGATACTCCCTCCGGACTTATGCCTCTCCATATCCGCACTCCGCAGGTGAGCCCCACAGCTTGCACTAATTTGTGTTTGCTCTGGCTCTAGCCAGTGTCACTCAACATCTCAGTCAAATAACTCGCGAACAATCTGATGAAATGTTCCCTTCTAGGTTGAGAGTTTTGGGTAGTTGGAATCTCTAAAACAAATCTGCTAACGTTGAGTGCCGGTGATACCACGTGAAGTCACCTCCGTAGACTTACGTTCAACTTCTTTGTTCAGTTTCTGTTCTGTTTAACGTTGGTCTGAAAACCTTGAGTAACTTTCAATTCCTGTCCCTCTCACCTTTCTCTTGTAATGTTTGTTCACAGGTTCCAGCTGCTCAGCAGATGTTGAGTTTTCCTGAGAAAAACAAAGAGAAGCCTACTGATCTGCAGAACTTTGGACTTCGCACAGACATCTACTCAAAAAAGACTTTAGCAAAGGCAAGTATGTTGGGATTTTTTCCCCCCTGTGCCTTCTATTAAGCTTTCATCCTCAAGTGTCCTCCACAAGGTGACACTGAGGTGACTTATGTTACTCCTACATTCCCGATTTACGTTTCTTCCATCTCAGTGTAGGACACTAGGATACATGGCTGTGTTGGATATCTAATTTTGTAGAAATAAAGACACGCACCTATCCCAAGTTAGTCAGTACTGTCACTCTTCAGACACCGAACTCTTGTTATGTTATTGCATATTTTACCCGAATGGTTCAGAAACAACAGACTGTCCGATAATTCAGTAGAGAGACTGGGATCTTTCAGCAGGTTTTTTAACTATCCTGTTTTCCAAGTCTGAGCAGGGTTTTCCAGACCGAGAGAACTAGAAAGTCGGTCGATTACAAAAGGTGTCACGAAACTACTGCGGGGGATGTTTCGACAGTCGTGGCCACACATTGTACTGGGTAGTCAAAGTTTTGTGCTGCCACCATAAACCTCCTGCCCGTGTCCTGCTGCCCCAGTACGTGTGTGTGTACAGGCAGCGCTGGCGGTGCTGCAGGGACACCACGTCACTGGGTCAGCACAGCCTCCCCCGGGGAGGTCCACCGCGCTCTGCTGCGGGGCGCCTCGTGGGCTGCCGTCGGGCTGACCCCGTGCAGTGGGTTTCTGCAGGTACAGCCTGCCTTGTCCCGGGAGATCACGGGTTAAACTGAAGAGATAACTATTTATACACTATTATTCATACTGTTTATACACTACTTACCACCTAAGAGATAACTAAAAAAAAAAAAACAAAAAAAAAAACAAACCAAACCAAAAACCCTAAAAATCAGTAGTTGTAGAGATCAGCATTCTTTTATAAAGCCTGATTCCATATCACATCTCATGGATTGACTTTCCCATGTAGTTTAGGGAGGTATAAATATTCACGAAATTCATAAATATTTTACTGGTTCTGGACTCTGCTTTTGTTTATAAGCATCTATACCAATGACCTCCAGCAGATTTGTTTGCAGAGGTTGATTTCCCTTTTTGCTGTATGTGTGGCAGTTGCTTTTTGGCTGTTCATACCAGCCTGGTTGAGAACTGACCAGCTGCTGGATGACTCACTTTGATAAATGTTCTGTTTGGGTTAACGATCTGTTTCAAATGCATCTTGAGATGGGATAGATTTACTTATCCTAAATACGCTTTTCCTGTTGTTTTGGTCTTGCACAGACATCCAGTCTAGATAACGTTCTTCCATAATCAGGTGACGCTCTGTTTTTGTCTTTATTTGACATGTAATGGATTAGGGTGTCTGCAATCACGGATGGGGAAGCTTTCACCAAGCATTATGTAACTTCTAGGAAATCTCAGGAGTTAACCATGAGGTGCAGGTGTTGGAGCAGCAACCCTTGGAGGAAGTGATTGCTGCATATGCAGATTATCTTGCTGTAATTCCTCTGTCTTCTCGGATAGCTCTTCTCACTTGTAAAGATGGATTATTTTTTACTGAGTTACTGATGAGCTTTTAGATAGATTGGGGTTTTGGTTTTTGTTTCTGTTTCGGTTTTTGTTTCTGTTTCGGTTTTTGTTTCTGTTTCGGTTTTTGTTTCTGTTTTGGTTTTTGTTTCTGTTTTGGTTTTTGTTTCTGTTTTGGTTTGTTTTGTTTTGTTTTGTTTTTTTTTTTTTGTTGTTGTTGTTTTGGTTTGTTTTTTGTTTATTTTTGACCAGCATGCACCTTACGCAGTCCAGCCTTTCTGCCTTGGAAGCAGAGGGTTTGATGGGGGCTGAAATTGCATTGACATAAACCTTTTTGTGTTGAGAAAGGTAGCCTTTAAGCTGAGGGAATCCCAGGTGTGCCTGAAGGGAATAATACATCTCCTGAGGGGACAGCAGCCTCCTCGGGCTGCGTGGCAGCTGGAGGGGGGGTCAGATACTCCGTTGTGTCTGTTGGCTGCTGCCGCCCTTGGGTGTGAACTGCAGAATGCTGGGTGGAAACTGTTCTGTTCTTGGCTTAACTTCACTGGCCGAAGTCAAGCTGACCAGAATGCCAGCAGCACTGCTACAGGCTTTTATCCTGCAGGAAAATCCTCTTTTCTTTTTGCTGTATGTGCAAGCAAAGGTAGCTGGGAGCCACGAGAAAAGGGTGCCAAATCGCTTTGCTTCTGCTTGGAGTCAAAGAGGAGTTGCAGGTTCTCCTGGACGTGTTGGGAAGGTGAGGTCTGGAACCCTCAGCTTCTGCAGAAACCGCAGGAAGGTAGTGGCCTGCGTGCCTTCGCCACGTGAGCAAATCATGTGAACAGAACCGCTGGGCGAGATAACCAGGGCTTGGTTAGCTGTAGTAGAAAGTTTGTGGAAGGTACATGTTTGAGTGGATTAAATAACGGATTCTTCCCCTTTCCTTCTCAATGTTTTCTTTTCAAAAGTTCCATACAAAGAAACCTGTATTTATTTCGCTCTGTTTTTGCTGTCTTTTGTAGAGTAAAGGCGCGAGTGCTGGAAGGGAATGGACAGAACAAGAGACATTGCTGCTGTTAGAGGTAAGTTCATCGAGGGTGGGGGCTAGGAAACCAAAACATGCAGGATATTATGTGCTTTAAAAATCTACATAAACATTAATTTTTTTGAAGTGGAGTTAGATGACAACCACATGTTTTTACAGAAACTGGGATAGCAAAGGTGAGTTTACAGTGGGAAGCAATCTCTTGAGACCCAGCTGATGTAACTGGAGGTTATGGCTTCTGAACTGGTTAAAGGTCACAGCTCTCTCTTCAGACCACATCTCTTTATTTTGACCATCATGGCTATGAGAACATTAGTGCTAAAAAGAGATGGCAATAACATGGATGTGCTAGAGGGGCTTCACATACTGTAGGGTTCAGTTCGATCCGACTTGTGTCTGCAAACCAGAAATTCAGTGTTTAAGAACGTTTGCACAAACTCAAGAGCAGATCTTGCAGCGCAGCGAGGTTATTTCATTAGCAGAAGTTACTAACAGTATGAAGTAAATGCCCTTCAAGTAATGGTTTACCTGCCACTAAGATGAATATTTTGAAATTCTGATAAAATTAAAGGTTCCTGGCTATGGCACAGCATGTTAAGGGAAACTGAAGTTGCAATAGTTAAACAGATGAGTGTGTCCTGTCTCCCGCCACTAAGAAGGGAAGCTCTTTATTTGGCAGCTCTTTAATCCCCTATATCTACTCATTCCTTTTGCCACATAGCTGCACTTGATGTATTCTTTAAGCTTTTCCTGGAAGTCTACAAGAAATATATATGAGATGACTCAAATCACATTGGTACTGTAAAAATGAGGTCAAAAAACTGTTAGCACACTAGAATCCAGTCTTTGTCCCCACATTGCTGACCCTGATGCTCTTGAACCACTTGGTAATGACCAGGTCTCTCGGCGTTCCAGTCAGGGGTGAAAACCATCCCGGGAGGTGCACCGCAGAAGTGTGTTCCAGCCTTTCACACTCCCATCAGGGCAGCGCTGTTTTTCACAGCACTTCACCAGAAGAATAGTCTCAGTGGCCTGAAATAATTAATGTGCTGCCACTTTCTATAAAGAAATTATCATCTACCTAGCTTTCTTTTGCAGGAACATTTTCTTCATGTAGAGGTTGGGTGGTTCATTTTTTTCCTTCTATGTAATTCAGGGTTCTGGTAGAAGAATTCCAGGTTGGGAGGGGGGGCTGTGTTTGTTTTTACTTGGAGAAAGCTGAAATCAGAGTGCCATTGTGTGATTGTTCCAGCTTTTTTGTCTTTACATGTGTCAGTAAACCTGCTGAGAAGCTAATTTCACAAGGAAAAGCATGGACAGTGGGTGCTGACCAATACTCAACTGCAGTGTGTGGTCGCTTTTCTGAGCTGCCCAAAGTGCCTAATCAGCAGCACACTTTGGTTCAGCCTTCACAGGCACGCAAGTGTGTTCATCAAACAGCCAAAATAAATAATTGGGTTTGGGGTTTTGGGTTTTTTTTTTTTAATGTTAGGTTGATACACATGGCTTAGCCAATACTTTTCTATTGACATGTGGAAAAATTTTGCTTATAGGGTGAAAAGAGCTAAGATGTTTTTCATGGCACTCTTGTATGGAGAAGCAAGACTAATATCTTGATATGCTGGCTTCTTTGCTTACTAGTATTATTTAAAATTCATTCTTTTGTATGTTTGTAGCTTATGGTCATACATAGCAAGTAGTAGCCTAATGAAATAATCCAGATGATATATTCTTCTTTATTTAAAACAAAACAAAACAAAAAAAAAACCCTAAGTCTTGAGATTACAATTTTATTTAATGTGAGTTTAAATTAATAATGTTTTTGTTCTTCATTCTTCATGGATTTAACCTATGAATAAATCAGTAAAGAGTGTATCAGTTCCAGCATAAGTAATTCAGCTATAACAAGCCAGCTTAGTCCAATTAAATCCTCAGGGTAGCTTTGGGCAAATATATATGCGGTGAGGTTCCAAATAATAAATCTTATGTAAAATAATTATTGTCCTTCTGCCTGTTGACCGAATGAACTGGGGGGAGGAAATACTGTTTCCCTCCCAGAATCATCTTCCCTGCCACACTGCTGCTCCATATCTCCACGGAGCCCTATTCTTGCATAGTTAAGTGCATTTTCAGCTATTTATAGTAAGGACAACTATTGTGAGAGCTAGTTCGTCTAGCAGAAAATAACAAGCAATGAAGGAGAATGAGCAAAAATACCCTGCGTGGCCATGAAAAGCAGAGCTGATCTAATATGCCAGTGTGATTAAAAATGGATAGACAGTGACACATACAGCACGGAGATGAAATGTGGGGAAGTGAAATGAAGGTTGAACGTTGAATAAATATTTCCCCACGAAGACGACCCAGTGAACTAAGCGGTTTCTCATTTCTTTAAACGCTTGGGCAAGACCAGGCAGAGGTCAGGAGAAGAGTTCAGAAGCAGTTGGGGCGCGTGGAGTCCTGCGGTACGGACCACGCTGTCCAGTGTCGTTTGTCCTTGGCTCATTCCCCAGCCAAATTATTCTTTCCATGGAGCTTTCAGAGCCCGTCATGTTGTCTGGCTCGTGGTCTTCAGCAGCTCCTGTGGTGGTCCTGCCACCCCGCTAAGCTCTTGCTGGAGCACAGCGTTCCCCTCGCCTGGTCCTTGCCCAGCCAATCTTACACCCCGTGTTTGAAGGGAAGGGGCAGGGAACCAGCAGCCTTCTGAAGATATACTGGGGGGTTTCCCTCCTCCCCACCCAATTTAAGCAGCGAGACCTAGCTATGAGAGAGAGAAACATAAAGCTTAAGTTGCTTTCGGATCGGGGGGCTAAAAAGCTCCACCTGCTCCAGGCAACTTGGTCTTTTTTCTCTAATTTGTTCAGTGCCTGCCAGATCTCTAACACTTTTGGATTTAACTCTTCTGTGCTTTTAGTCTACTTCACATCTTGGAAAATGCTACTCGGTTTACATTTTTCCTCAACCTGACCTGCAACATCCATGATATGCCCAGAGGTCCTGTTCAGATAGACTACTTTTCTCTGTGAAGAATTCTCATAGCTTATGTTTCAGCTGCAAAAACACTGCAGCACTTTTTCTCCAGAACTGCTGTGAAGAAAACGGTATGTTCGGAAACTCCTGGATTTTTTAAAAAAATATTTTTGTGTCTGTGAAAAAGACAGATTTATGTATAGTCATGCAGGCAAATGTCTTCTGAATGCACAACCTTCATACATAGTAATTTCTTTTGTGGGAATACCCCTTCCCAGATCAGGGAACTCTTAACACAGGAGGCTGATGACTCAGTTTGTCCTCTACTTCTCACTAGCAACTCTGCAGAAACATCCAGCTCATGAACTTTGTGTTGTACTACTCAGATATGTTGGATGTATCCTCGTCACCATGTCTGCCAGCTACAGTCCAGCACTGAATTCTGCCTTTATGCTATGAAAAGTTGTGCGTGTGGAAGGTTAAGTCAGTCTTGCAAGCTACCCTGAAGGTTGAGGTTTCTGATAGTTCTCAGCCTCGTAGGAAAGATTTCAGGTATTGAAAAGCCATTAATTTAATTTTGTTCTAAACATCCGTGTTTAAATGGACATACTGCTTACTTGGGGAAACACAGTTGTCATGAGTAGTTAGTTAAGGAGGAGGAGGATTTCTGTGTCTTATTCTAAAATACATTGTACCTGCAAACAGGTGCCTTAAAGTCCAAGGCAGCCTGCCCGATGGCCAGCGAGCCAGTCAGGACATCTCGTCGGGATCCTCCAAGCGCTCTGCTAATACCTGCTTCAAACTCTGTTCCTCCCCTTGCCCCGGTTACTGCTGAAACTCCTGCCCGCCCGCTCTGAAGCAGTGCACGAGCTAGTTACCTGGGCTTGTCGTAGGGGGGGCACGGTCTAAGGGAAAAACCAGCTTGACTTCTTGGCTCAGTGTGTTAAACTTCAAAATGAAAATGGGATCTGCAACTCAAGCAGAAAGGTCTTTACTGCCCTTGCTCAGGCCTCTGCTATTAAATATTTTCAGAAGACTTCTGTTATGCCTGTGAGCTGCAGATCCCATTTTAAGTTTTAACATATTTTGCCTAGATCTCAAGTGGCTTTTTACTTCTTGTAGGTGACTGGACCATGAATCATCTCAGTAATATAAAAGTTAATGGTTCGGGAGACTTCAACACTTATTTTATGCTATCCAAACGCTTAAATAACTAAAACAGTTTTCAGGAAAAAAAAAAAAAAAGGTTGTTAAGGGATAATAGTCTATTAGGCTGCCACTTCAGGCTTTTACAGTACTAATTTGTTAGTTTTTCAAAAAGTAGTGCAGGGACTTCAATAGCTCATTGTTATTAAATTGTTTTGTTAAGGCTTTTCCCAAGTAACTTTAAAAGTGACTGAAATTCTGCATTACAGAACCTTTGATTTAATCTGGAAGTTCTGACTTCATCAGGTGACTTATCTACATAATAATGCTCTGTTAACCCGAATGCACAACAAAAATCAGACTGGTGAACAGTTGCTAGAGAACCAATCTCATCTAGCTTTATCATATGGAATATATTTTCCTCTTTTCCCCTGCTATATTGGTTTGATGGTGTTGTGGTTTAGGCCTGGTTGGCAGCCAACCACAATGCAGCAGCTCTCTCTCCCTTCCCCTCCGGCAATGAGAAGGGACAGAGAGCCAGGCTTGGGGTTCAAGATAGGACTGGGATGGGGAAAAATCCCCCTTTATGGTCATGAGCAAAAGGCAGACTCGTTAGGGGAAGAAAAAAAGAACATAGATTTATTACAGACACTAACAACACATAACAGAGCAGGACAGTGAGAAGCATTGCCACATCTTGAGAACACCTTCCCCCCACCCCTCCCTTCTTCCCGGGCTCAGCTCTGCTCCCCATATCTCTACCTCCTCCCCCAGGGGCGCAGGGGCAGGGAATGGGGGGTGCAGGCAGTGCTGCCACTTCCCTTCATGTTCGGTGAGGGGAGTTTCTGGAACTTGTTCCCCCCTGCTCCATCGTGGTCCCCCTCTCACAGGAGACAGTCCTCCACAAACTTTCTCCGACATGAATCCCTCCCACGGGCCGCAGCGTTCCCCACACTGCTCCGTCATGGGTCACTAACTTCCTCCGACTGGATTCCCTCCCACGGCTGCAGCCCTTCCCGAGCTGCTCCGGCGTGGGACTCCCCCGCATGCTGCAATCCTCCCAGCGCTGAATTACAGCAGCGGGGCTGCCTTTTCCCATGAGACCCCGGCCTTCTTTGGGCACAGCACCTTGATTATACTGAGCAGGAGCCACAGGCCATAAATCAATGTCTGCTCCACCGTAGATCTCCATGGGTGGCAGGGGGGGCCGCCCTGCCGTCTCCCCACAGGATACAGGGGGGTCTCTGCTCCGGCACACCTCCCCCCTCCTTTCTTCCTCCGTTCCTCCACTGACCTTGGTGTTCACGCAGCTGCGGCAACTCCTCCTCACCAGTCCCACTCCCCCTCACCACGTCCCTTCTTGAATACGTTATCGCAGAGGTGGAGCTGATGGGCTCGGCTCTGCTGCAGAAGTGGGGCCGACTTGGAGCTGGGGGAGCTTTGAGAAGCTTCTCACAGGGGGCCACCCCGATAGCCCCCTCCCCTGCCACCAAAACACTCCACCACTCACTCAACCCAGAACAGATGCTCTTTCATTTTCATAACCTCTGTTGGATCTAAAAACTGGGCTTCACCATCACATCCAGTGTATATGTGTGAACTGAATCCCGTTCCAGCCCCAAAGAGCGTAGTGTGTTGGGTCGCAAATGAGAGAACACAAGAGTGCCCTCAGGGAGAGTAGTTATGGGAATTAAAAGAATTGATGAGACTTGGTAGGATAAGCAAACGTATTTCTCTATAGCTTTTCTTGTGAAAGCAAAATGAGGAAACACTATGCAAATATTACTAGCAAATCCCAAATCTTCTGATGATTCTTTTTGATATAGTAACAGCATGAAACTCGAGTGATGATCCCTGCAGCTTAAATTTAACTGATGTCCCAATGAGACGTTCGTATTTTTTCTGTGGAATAATTTTGCTACCAGAAGAAACACTATTTTAAATAGTTGCCTGATCCCAATTTATTGTTCCGTCAGCAGAATAACTAGTATTGAACATCTTTTTGCCTAACGCCGGGTTTTCTCCCCCGGAGTAGTCAACGTATATACAATGATTTTTGTCTTCTGCAGGCTCTGGAGATGTACAAAGACGACTGGAACAAAGTCTCAGAGCACGTTGGGAGCCGGACCCAGGACGAGTGCATCCTCCATTTTCTGAGGCTCCCGATCGAGGACCCCTATCTGGAGAACTCGGACGCGTCGCTGGGCCCGCTGGCTTACCAGCCCGTACCCTTCAGCCAGTCTGGCAACCCCGTGATGAGTACCGTGGCCTTCCTGGCGTCGGTGGTGGATCCCCGGGTGGCATCAGCCGCGGCAAAGGCCGCCTTAGGTACGAGCTCGCCCCAGCCTGGTCTCTACAACTTTGACCTTTGTTAGTCTGCTCTAAAATCCTCTGTTTCTAGAGTTCCGTGAGGACGAGTAGTAAGTTGTAAAAACAGATCTACATGTATGTAGAAAGCAGGTCTACTGCTAGCCGGGTTTGTGTTCTGTTTCTGAAGCTGGCCCCGTCCAGGGGAGTCAGAGTAGCTCTTACAGGCCCCCGAATGTCTGAAGATGGCTTGTGTTCCCCTTTTGAGCTCTCTGGCCGCCGACAGTGCTTGCAAGCACCGCCTGGTAGTTGGCGCCGTTGTGGCCGCTGTCACTGGTGTTGCTGTGGATAAGTGCACAATGCTAAACTTAGTTTTCCTGGTTTACTTGTGTGAAGTTACCTGCCACCGATGTCCGCATCCTCTAAGAAGCTGGATGAACTAGTTCCTTTCACTTTTTTCCTTATTTTTCCAAGTAAAAGGTGGTTTTATGTAATTGAGAAGAGACCCTTTCCTACCACATTTGAGCGAGAAAATTTACTACCTAATGCGAAAAGAAGGAACTTACACTTCAGCGTTCACTTTGTCACGAGATTTACCTGCACATTGACCGGAGAAAATCCTCACACTTAATTTGCCAAACACCCCTTGCAATATAACACTTTCTTTGTGATTTTTGACAGAGGAGTTTTCTCGAGTCAGAGAGGAGGTACCGCTGGAGCTTGTTGAGGCTCATGTAAAGAAAGTTCAGGAAGCAGCAAGAGCCTCTGGGAAGGTGGATCCGACGTACGGACTAGAGAGCAGCTGCATTGCGGGAACAGGTCCAGATGAGCCGGAGAAAATCGGTAGGCTGTCCATCAAAATGCAGAAATTTCTGCAAATGAGGTTCCTTAGACATTTTCTTCCAACTCACATGAACCCCTAAGTTCACCTCCAATAGGAGATGGAAATCATGGTAAGGAGAGGATGATAGGTCATTCCGCTTCCACTCGCTGCAGGATTATTAAGTCTTGACACTAATGAATTTAGGACTAGCTTTAGTTTTAAGAATTCGCTTTCCTACTCTCACTACGTGGAAATGCCATTGTTTGGGATGCACAGAGTTGAGTGAGCTAAAATACCAGAACAAAGCGTTTCACGCTAATTCTGCGGATATTAGAGTAGTCAGAGGATCCTGCCTTTCTAGCATTATAGTTACAATAGAGCAAACTGAATTTTATTGGCTCTTCATGCCACAGCTGAATCTGTAACGCGATATCACACCTTTGGGTAACTGGTTTTAATATAAGTCTTGTCATCTGGGTACATCACTAACCCGGGCGGTAACAGGAGAGGAACTTTTGATTAAATGGTGGACTGGTACGTGATAACGCCGCAGCTCTTGGCTCTGGTGGTTGTACATTACACTGCCATCGTAACAAGCACTTGTTTCAGAGCTCGATTTCAGCTGAGCTATTTTCTGTAGTACTCAGCAGGTATTCTGGTGTTCTCTTACCTGAAACCTTGATGGGTGCAAATTGTTTAGTCATTACTATGGAGAGTAAAAGCATATCTTGTGGCAGCTCCCTATAAAGTGAAACCACTTTGTGTAACCCCTTTCTGTTTAACTCTTTTGGTTCCTTCAGAAGTAAAATGAATAGGCACACACAGTTTGCTACGTACCTACTGATTTTCTCAAAGACTTTCATCTCTTCAGTTGGGTACAGATCTACCATCTTGTCAGTCGATCTTTATTTTTCTCTCCAGTATTGTTGGCGGCTGTTTTGTTCAGTTTACCACAAATCATTTTAGTGAATTTAGTGACTAGATGTTTCAAGGCATGTATATATAGCTTTGGGTAAAAAGGACCAGAATGTAGTCTAGATTGACTGGAAAGTTTGCTCTGGGCTGTGCTTGTGCATCTCATAGTTGACCTGCTGTCACCCTGTCTAGAGCCAGATTGTGTGATGGGATCGTAAGGGACCTGCGTGTTTCAGTGCCGTTCAGTTATCAGCTGCTAGTCATACAGGTGAAGATGCAGGTCTGCTAGTTATGGTACTTAATGTCCATTGTAAAACTGCACTTCTGAATTCGACGTAAAAGTACGGCTTAACTCATGAAGGTATTTTTCAAATAGAAAAGAAGTTAAGAGACCACTCAAGCCTTCCGTCCCGTTTTTGAGTTCACTCAGTGGGAGACGCCCGATGGGAGGCAGCTCGGTGCTGTGGGGTGGATATATGCTGGGAGGGAACACTGGCACCTGGAATGCCTGCTGCTCCCCGATTTGCACCGCTCTGTCCTGCAAAACTGGCAGCAGGCACCGAAGCTCTGTTGAAAGGGCAAGGCTTTGGGGTTTCTTTGCGGGTCTACTATAAAACAAATCTAGGTGTCACTCTGTCTGGGACTAAGTTTAATTTGGTAGTTATTTTAAAATCAGCTTGCCTTAAGTTAAATTTTTCTTCCTGGGGCTTTGTTTCCCTTTTCCATATCCTCCAAGTACAGGCCTCGCTGTAGCAGGTTAAGGCCCTCTGTAACATGTATGCTACTTGGAGTCTTAATTCTTAATCCCGCAGCGCGACCGTGGAAGTTTACCACTGCTAGTCTGTAGGTTAGCCCCTTTTCTAGGAGAATTTGCACACGAGTTGCAAATAGGGATTCTGAAGTGCTTGTCACTTAATATGGGGAGTTGGAGAGCAGATGACCATAACGCGGTTATTTCTGAATGAGCTGTGTGGTGAGTTCTATAAGTAATACTGCCCTGTTACAGTTAATGCGATTTGTACTGGGCCGTGACTAATGGAATAAATGAGGGCAACAGCAGATGGGTCTCCCTGGGGGAGCTGCTCAGCAAGAGCAAACTGGGTCACTCAGCAAGCCGCGGTGCCTTCCACCTCCAGAACAGCTTTGCACGGGAGGGCCTGGGGGAACCCCGAGCTTGCACTCGCAGAGGTGTGTTTCATACGTTGAAGGGTCGTGTTGGGGTGTGCAGCTGCTGAAATGGAGCTGTGTTTTTGCATTGCTAGACCCAAACTTTTACATTTAAATGTCACTATGGAGAACTAAAAGTATCTACTTAGGGTTCCACGCTATAATTAAAGTTCATTGATGGTTATATTTTAGAAATAAAATTATATTACAGGTCCATAATAATTTTAAATCTTTTATTACTGGTGAATTACAGGTAATGGGGAATGTGGAAGGGAAAAATATGACTGGAACAGATTGCAAGAGCTTATCCAAGAATCTCCTCATAAGTCTTTCTTGGTTAGTTTTTCTAAAAGCTGATGATGGTTCCTTTTGAATTGATAGCGTAAGGCTTGAGCAGCGTTAAGAGGAGACTCGGGTGGTTCAGGTGCTGGGGTAAGCACAGGGGGGGGGTGCTGTCTTCTGCTTCCCAAGATAGTGCCCCACCGATGGATGAAGGTGCTCTGGATCTTCTGTAGTAAACCTGAACTGAGGAGAGCAGAGGAGGGATCCTAGCTCTTCAGGCCAATGATTAAGCTCCAGAGAAGGGAAATACTCAGCATGCCTGTGGGACTTAGTCATTGCAATGAAGTCTTCCCTGAGTATGGGCACTTTCTTAATGGCTTTCCAAAGGTGATTAACTACATTGATTGCATACACGTGCACTGAATGAGGCTCGAGGCAGTCCCTGAAGTGCCTGTGGTGGAGGTAGTTGCTTGTGCGTTTTTGGTCGCATTCTAACAAATATTTCACTGGAAGTGTTTCTGCTGACACAGGTGCATGGGTGCTTCGAGTTGTGGTTCATCCGCGACAGTAAACACTGAGGGAATGGTGGTTTGATTTACTGGCTGTGCTACAACTGCAACTGACTTAACTGGAAGATTAAATTTAACATGTTATGGATGATTTTGTGTCATTCTCAGCTACGCATACTGGAAAACTACACTCAAGTATACATACACGGGTGAAGCTGGTTTGCTTCATTTTCGGCAGGAAGATTTCTCTTGTGGTCTCTCCAGGGTGTGCTTTTACTCTGAAATAATGCCAAGCGTTGCTGAAATGAGCGGTCTCCGAGCACCTTCATCCACTTTGCGTGTGTCCAGGTGCCTGGGAGCTCGTCCTGCGCCGCTGGAGGGTTGAGCCCATCAATCCTCTTGCGATGGAGCCGTGCAGCTCGCACGACAGCCACAGCAGCTCTCCGTGAACTCTCCCCCCTGCTCCCTGGAAGCCCCCTTGGTTATCGTGCTGTACGCCTACCGGCTGCAGGAAGCAGAAGCAGAGGAAGCTCTGGTGGCCGTGGAGTTATGACTTCCCGTGGAAAATGTAAATTATGGTTTAGATAATAGCATAATTATCATATTCAGATCCAGGCTTTTTCTATGGCTATAGTATGTTGTCTCTCGATTAAATATTAATATTCAAGCCTGACTTTGGACAGGTTGTAGTGAAAACAAGGGAGACTGGGATGACTTGGGGGCATCCTTAAACTATTTGCTGAGCTGAAACTCGAGCTAGTGATTCAGTTCATTTCTGTGTGGGGTTTTGCTTATTGTTCTTCTGATGACAGTGGAGGTTGCGTATCTGCTTAGGCTGCAAGTGTCTGTTTGCTGGTAATGCAGTAAATGCTTACCGGGGAAATGTTTTACAGTTTTCCTTGAAGTCAGTTTAACTTCTCTGTAAAGTTATCGGGCTTCGTCAGAAGTCGGCTAGAAGTTCTTCATGCATTAGAAAACAAGGCTCCGTGTTCTTGGAGATAACACACAAAACGTAACAAGCTTCCATAGAGACAGAAAATATTTGCTTCAGGTTTGAAGAGGGGCCTGGAGAGGAAATGTTCCCTGGTCTGCAAGTGGTTTCTCCCTCTTGAAAGGTGCCTTGTGGTGTCTCACAACTACCTGCCTCTTGCTGATTTAAGAAATATCATTAATTTGATTCCCCACAGCCTGCGAGGGATAATAGCAAACCTGCTGAAGAGCATCGTTGGGGCCATGTGGATTACAGGGTCTTTCTCATTAAAGTCTTCCCCTTCTGTAATAGGGATGTGTATCTCCAAATAATCGGCTCCTGTTTGCATTATCGCTTATGTATTTTTGTTACTCCCATTAGATCATACAGGAGAAGCAGCACGGGTGTGTCTGTATCTAACTGAAAGGCAGGAGTCATTTCTGATTTTCTCATGCAGGTGGTCAGAAATGTTTGAGGTTTTTTCTGATCCTTTCATATTTGGCTTAGAGATTAATTTTTACAGGACTCAACTGTTTTGAGGTATTTTCAGCAGCCTTCAATTTACAAGCAAAATCTTCCTTCAACCCAGGTAAACTTATTTAACCCCCAAACTAATAACTGATAGCTTTAATTTTCTTTTTCCTTATACATGTAGTATTTCAGCATGGTCCCCTGGATGTACATGAGTGCAGAATGGCTCATGCCAGCGGGAACTGCAGAGGCATAGTGCTGTCACTGCAAATAAGGGCTTAGTACCTAATGTGACCAAACAGTTTTCAAAAACCATTGACTACGACCTGCCTAAAGTTGTCATCCTGATTTTAAAAGAACATCTATTATTATAGCCAGGACTAGAACACCAAAGTTAAATCAGGGTGTTTGCAATAATCTTCCTGTCACACATACTTACCTTCTGACTCTTTTTGGAGCTGAATGTGTCCCTGTTTAATAGTAAAGAACACTTTATTTTGGAAAGTGTCTGTCAAATGTACTGTGACACAAGGGAGAGTCCACGGGCAGTTTTCTTTGCTGTGAGATGCTCTGTGTCCTTTTTTTTCTTGGAGAAAATTTTCTCTAAAGGCTGAGTGTGAAGGAGTTTGTCTTTCTGAGATGTCCTTTTTGCCTTGGAATTAATAGTCACTTAACAACTCTTAATTGGTCCACAAATTCACCCAGAGCAGCTGTGGGTGCCCCCTCCCTGGAAGGGTTCAAGGCCAGGTTGGACGGGGCTGGGAGCCCCCTGGGCTGGGGGAAGGGGGCCCTGCCCCGGGCAGGGGGGTTGGGACTGGATGATCTTCAAGGTCCCTTCCAACCCAAACTATTCTCTGATTATATAAAATAAAAAAGGAATATTTAGTAAAGCTTTTCCCAATACTTGCAGGGAATTAACAGCAAGCGCTTAGATTCTGTGACAGTGCTTGATGTGTAGCACATTGTAAACCTGCACAAACTCGTCCCGTGCTCGTGTCTGCGCGTGGCGCGGTGACTCACCCGTTGCTGGATGCCGCTTTTCTCAAAAACTTTTATCTGAAGATGGGAAACCTTGAAACGCGGTGTAATCAGAAAATAAAACCCACATTCAAAATCGAGTTTAAACTGGAAAGGGAGGTCAGTTTTTTACCTAAAAGGCACAAGAACAAACCGACTTTTTGGGTAGAGGAAGACAGGACTTGCAGGACTTTATTTTACGGCATTCTTAGGAGCAGCTTAGGTGATTATTGCCTTACAGCTTTCTCTCAAATGTGGTTCAGAATCTAGCAAGGAGTACTGTCACCTGTGAAGTTTGCGTTCCTGAGAAAATCTTGTGCAATTATGTGACAAGAATATTCTAGGGAATTTTTTTTTCTCTCTCTCTCTCTCTCGGAATAAAAATGTGAAGCTGGAGGTTTCTGTGGGAGCTCCTTTAGACGAGGTAGTAGCCTGATGGTCAAGATGCTTGCTGCTGGTCTGGGATGCTGAGACTCGAGTCTCTTCTGCTCACCTCGTTCTAGGCTGGAGAGCCTGAGCTCCAGGTTCTTGTCTTCCAGAAGAGTAGGAAAAATTACCAAGTTATGAGCTCTTAAGAGACAGAAGCCTCCCTATTTTGACTTAAAATTGTCCACAGACTAGAGCTTTTCTGACTTGTTGCACACAGACTTGGAGTTTTGTAGGAAGCAGAACTTCAGAATTGCTCCACTTCTCGCTGTGGTTAAGTTTTGGGCTGTTTATACAAAATTATAGGCTTTTTTCTTTCAATTATACTGTATCTCAATACTAGGAATCTTTAATTTCTTGCTGTTTGGGCAGAGCTGCCCCAGAATGAAAACTTACGTATTCCTGTGCAATATTTTCCTAGTTTGAACTCATGATCTTCCACTCTACCAAGCCAAGCACACTTGGAATGTTCTGCACTTTGTCTCTCCTTTTTTTGCTGAAGGAGAGAATGAAGCTTGCTTTGTGAATCTTTCTCTTTCATTTACTAGGAGGGATGACGTTTTAAGCTTGGTTTGGAACTGTGCTTCCAGGCTTGGAATAGCTGTCTGGCAAAATCTAATCTAGATTTTCCCTGTGACATCATTAGGTCACTAAATCCCAACTCTGAGATAAAACTTCTGTGGAGGTATGTCCTCAGTCTCCATAAATTGAATTATGGTGGCAGATATTTCAGATAAGTAGATTTATCATCTTAAAATAAGCCAAGAGGAAAACCATTATCTTTCAATCAGACATTTCAGTAAGTTTTTCTTATATAGAGAAGGGACTTTTGAAAAAACTTCTCTATATAACTGTTGCTATTAAGGCAAAACTTTGTACACCTATTTTTTCTTCAGTGTAGCACACAGGAATTACTAGGAAAATGAGGATTACAGAAAATGAACGCCCAACACCTGCTAAAGTTTTCAGAAGCTTAGGGATGGATCAGGGCTTTTCACCAGCAGTTTTATGTTGGTATGGCAGCATGTGTTGGTGTCCAAAATCTAAATAGGCTCCTTCTTTAATGCCCCTGTACTAAGATCCTAGGCAAGGAATATGAGATTGCACCGACACTTCCCTCCTGTCCGTTCTTGCAGAACAACTGGGTGCTGCAAGTAAATTGGGATTTCTTGGACTTCTAAAAAAATCCATATACAAAATAACAGGAGGCAGCAGTAGAACATTATTCAGGCACCTTCATGGTATTCTCCATCAATATGCTTGTTGTTACATCCTCATCTCAGAGGCCTGCTATCATTAGTGGGAACACTTTAAATAAATGCTTTCTAAAGGAGTAACTTAATGAACCAGCAGCTAGCAGCAAGAGATGTGTCCTAAGCACAAGAATATACTAACTGCTGTTAAAACACTCCCTACTCTTGAGATACATGGTACCAGTGATTTTTATTATTATTTTTATTTCCTTTTCCTTCCTGTTTTTGGTCTTGCTTGTATACCAGTTAGGCTGTTATCTGGTGGTCTGTTGTAGATGCTGAAGGTAGGTGGGATAACAACTGGTCAGCTGCTACTCGAAAAGCAATCGGTAACACAAGGGTGCCTGGCTCTGTTTTGGCAGAACTCTTCAGATGTTCTCTGTAATTGCTATTTGAATGCCAAACAGACAGTAAATAAGAGGTTACAAGCTTGAAGAGCTCAGTCTAGTCAGCCAAAAAAAAAAACCCAAACAAAATGAGCAATTGCAGGAAGCATGTCGTTGTGTATTGCCAGGAAGGGTTTTTTCATGCCTGGCAGACCTGTTCTGGGTTCCAAACGTGAAGGTGCTGTCCCGACCCATGCCTCCACGGTGGTGAGAGAACCCACCAGGTGCCCAGGCAGTTCCTGTTCTATATGCGCTGTTAGCTTCTCAGGAAGACGGAGATTTTGGATGAGGAATTCCGAACCGGAGGCTGCAGTGTAGGTGAGCTGCCTCTGCTCTCTGTAGAGGTCTCCTCCTCAGCTCGCGCTTGGCACACGCGTCTCTTGTGCCGTGAGGAAGTCCTTCCTGGCTTGGAGCCAGTCTTGGCAGGGGCTCTGGTGCGATTCCTCTGAAGATTCGGGCCGTGGTGTAAGGCTGAGGCTCCACCTCCTGGAGAAGTCCAGGAAATCGTTATTGCCCAGGGAACCCAGCTGGTGGTTTTATGGAGAGCTCTGCTCCCCTTACGTCGTCTGTCAGCAATGCCTGAAGCCGCTGGGGAGAAGGGAGAGCTCACCCAGTGCTCTTATCTTCTTCGGCATTAGCACCGAAGGTGCAGCTCAGCTCTGGGTTTTCAGCTCATCTTGGAAAGGATGCTTTTGTGAAAAGCTGGGAGTTGAGCAGGCTGTCCTGTGACCACATGGCCAGGGGGTGTGTTCATCCCGCCTCAGCTCTGTTTCTCGTTTGTTTGGATGGCTCTATTTTGGATGCAGAGGAAACTCAGAGCTTTCAGCTGGTAATTTTTATGTTTTTCTTGCTTTATATCTAACCAACAGCCAGCTCTTGTGTTCAGATGTGACTCATAGCTTGTTTAGCCCCTAACGAGGCAGCTGCAGCCGGACTCTAGAGGAGGAGCTGGATTTTTTTCAGTGAGAACGCAAAGAAGGTGTTAGGGTTGAACTGGGATCATTTCACTGATTCACTCTTCAGCACAAACCCACAAGTGTTGGTATCGTTACAGCTGAGGAAGAAGCAAGAGCATGAACCACCAAGGTCGGAGTGAGAGCGCTGTCCAGGAACATCTGCCACAGGGCTGCACCCTGTGGGCCAGTTTCTTTGAGTTAAGCTTCATTGTGCAGTGCAGACACAAATAACTTGCTTTGAGTGTATTTCTGAGGGCTTGGGTACAATTGCAGAGTGCTCTGGGGAGAAATGTGTTTGGAGGAACTGCACAAAGAGCTGTACAGGACTGGAGAGCCCCTCGGTCATCATGTTTATGCGGAGCAGCAGGTACGAAGGGTGCGAAAGGAGGATTTGCTGTGCAGGGGGTAACTGCTCACTGCCTTCAACTCCAGTGATTTGGGGCCAGAAATAACAAGGGATCCTCGGTGTTTAAGAACAGCGTTAGTGCTTGAAGAAATTTGCTAGTGCTTAATGTTACTCTGGTGTTGAATAATTATTTTGAAGTCTGCTTTGGAGAATTCTGGTATTTGCAGCACCTGCAAAATGGAATTTAAATCTTCAGTTGACCTGCAGCGCATGGCAATGCTTCTGGATAGACCTTTCATCAAAAGCAGCTCAGGGGATCTTGTGCTAAGGAGGAATTACAAGTCTGGCAGCGCCGTAATTGAGGTTAATCGCGTAACTGACAACCATCTACAGCATCAAATTGGCTGTATCGAGAAAAACATTTTGTAATACTGTGAGTTCCAAAGGGGAATTACTGTACGACTTGAATACTGCAGAACTGTGCATCAAACTGTCCTTCATGTAGCTAAAATTGATAGATCTGGTGGTTTCTGTCTACATGGGTAAACTGGGGGTTTCAGCAGAGCATAGATAATTTAATGCTTTGCCCTGCTTGTTGAGCTGAGAAGAAACCAGTTAAATTTAAATTTGCAAGTAAACTCCATTTTTAAACTAAAATTAGTGTAACAAGCTTCTAGTCTTCCAGGAGTTTAGCGTAGTGGCGTCCTTTAAACCACTGCTAGTGGAGAACAGAAAATTTCAGTTAACCCTGAAATAAACTGACTACGATAAATCGATGTTATGGCAATTCCAAATACTTGACTTGCTTGTTTTCCTCAGATGGAGTTGAAGAAGAAAAGATGGAAACAGAGACAGAGGGGCAGCAGGCTGAGAAGGTAAGCTTGGCTCAGTGCACTGGTTCTGAAAAGGTACTTCTGGCACTTAGCAAACCTGAATTGCTGCGTTCTAAAATTCCTGATAGGAAAGGTAGACGGTAGTGTGCTGATCAGCGCGTGTCCACAGGGAACCATTTTTTGTGAGTGATTTAGTCTCAGACCTTACAGAGACATTTCTTTTGCTGGGCAAATGGCAATGAGACGCCGGTGTGGTGTTTCCTAGTCCTGAGGGAAAAGGTTGGACTGGGAGGAAACGTGAAGTGGGCGATATCCAATGAATTAGAGACTTCAGCTGCAGAGGGACGTTGGTATGTTACGGTTCATGACTCGTAGCGGTCTCAAGCAAGCGTCACTGAAGTCTTGCCCTAGAAAAATGTGGTTTGTGATAGATGGCCTTCCCCAAGTTGAACACAGCTTTCAGTTCTGACAAGATGAGAGAGGCCGGGGCTTTCCGGGAAGTGGGTGGGCTGGGGTCACTTGCAGCATTTGGCAGCCGTTTCTGAGCAGGGAGCCCGAACGAGGCGGCTGTGGTCCCATCTGCGCCGCAGCCCGGCAGCGCGGTTGCGTGTCCTGCCCGCTCTGCCTGCAGCTTAGTGGGTGGGGGGGGTGAGACCTAAGGTGCCTGTAGCCGAGCTGGTCGGCAAAACTCCTCGCTGCGAGAGGTCTGGGCTGACTCTTGGTTATGGATGTGTGCATCGGGTACTCGTGATGATGTCGGCCGTGATGCATCCTGCCCATAAAGATATCAGATACTTAGAAGTTAATTCCTTTGACCTGTTGATAGTGCCTAGAAGAATGCAGTTGTTTGGGGCTTCCCCAAAACCCCCTGTCTACACACACCGTGCCTCTTTCCAGCCTACAGTAAGGGCACTGGCTGTAAGGGTTTCAGACCTGAACTGGAAATAAACTATTATCCTGGAATTAGAAGCTCGCCCTGCTAAATAAATGGTAGGAGGTGCTTATGGAGCCTGCAGCAACAGGCAGTATTTCTGTGTTGCCCCCTTCATCTAACAGATGAGATAAGCCTACCCTCAGAGGCCGTTAGCTTGGGTTTGATGTTACTTTTCAGCCTATTTTCAGATAGTTCTTTTGCTGCCTTCCTGGTAGTCAGATACGCTTAGAGAAGATGTAAGTGAATAGAAGACTTGGTCAGAGCTTGAAAAGATGCCTTTTTCTGTTGAGCGGAGTAAATGTGAAACATTCAGGTCAGTTTGGAGTATTTCCAAGGGGAAAATGATGCTTCCAGTGTTAAGCACGAAGCTGCTGCTTGCTTCCTTCCACCCGTTCCTGGACAGAACCACCTTCCTGTAGTACAAAATTCAGTTGTAGCATTTCTTGCCACAGGCAGCTCTTGTGAGCGTGAGTTCTGCAGAATTTGGAGCTGTGTGGATAGGTGAATGCTGAATAAATATTAACATAGCAGACACTGGAATAAATGGGCACAGCACAGGGGGAAGAACATGTTCTTGTCTGTCACCTTAGTTCTGGAGTTCTTGTACTTTCAGATGAGCCCAGGTTGGCCTGGGTTACTGAATCTGACGGACTTTGTCCAGTGTAGCAGTTACTTTGATAATTCAGATTTCAGTCACAACTGTCAAAATAGGCTTAAGTAGCAGTCAACATTGAAAATTTAATCTCTTCCTTTATGATAGTAAATGAATTGGAAAGCTATAAAGCAAGTTAGAAGTGAATGTCTTCTATAGCTCTCATCCTTCAAACAATCTTTCATCTCATTTAGGTTGAAAACAAAACAGAGAGTGAAATTGAGGAGGGCAATAAAGTACAAGAAGGAGAAAATGAGAGAAATCCAGAAAAAGAGCAAGATAGCGAAGCGACTGCAGACACCAAGCCAGGTAATGGTTCCCAGCTGTTCTTCAAGCTGTGGTAGCTTTAATAGCCTTCCTCTGAAGGGGCTGGAACAGACTATAAACTCAACTGTGGCAGAAATATTTTCTCTTGCACATCAGGCTGCTTCATGGTTCAGTAGTAAATATTCTAGTTTAATTTCAGTGCAAAGCTCGGGCACTAAATTCTTTCTTGAACTCATTTTAGACCTCAGCTGAGCTTGCTTCCACTGCGTAGTGACTGGGTGAAGACACTGCAGTAGCAAAGTGCGCGTAGGTCATATAAATTATTTTCTTTTGCCTCTATTGCACACCATTTGATCATTTTTGATGCAAAGAAATGGGACTGCTCACTTTTACCCTTAGAAGTTAATATGTTAGCTCAGTTTCCCTGTGGAGTGGTGCAGAGCCTTTATTTTGACAGTCGGAGGAGCGCTGTTTGGTTTTGTCTACATAAGACATTATTCTTATTTATTTTTAACACGTGTCCCTTGTACCACATGGATATATTGTTTTTTCCTAGAACTGACATTCACTATCTTAGCACCAGGTAGAGCAAAGAAGCATTTGGATTTGATGTAACGATGGAGTTGATTTGGAAATGCAGCTGAAATTGTTCTGATGCGAGTGTGCCGATGGCAGAAGAGAATTGACAGGATGGAAGCTAAAAGCATGTAAAGTTGCTCTGTTTGTTGGATCGGATCCTCTTAGACTGGAATAGTTCCCCTGTCAGCATTTGGATGAGTAGCAGTACTATCACACAGGAATGTGACAGCGTGGGGATGAATTAATTTGTTTGACTAATAGCGGTGTGCCTCGTGCAATTCCTGTCCTGACGCGATACTGTTAACCAGGGGAGAATGCACGTAACGGGCTTGGTGGGAAATCTCTTTCAGAAGAAAAGGAGGCAGAAGAGAACAAGGAGAACGTTGATGCAAGCAAAGACAAAGAAAACGAGGCTGGGAAGAAGAAAGTGGAACATGAAATCTCGGAAGGAAACGTAGCTACAGCTGCAGCTGCTGCCCTTGCCTCAGCTGCCACCAAAGCAAAGGTTTGTTTGATACAAATACCCATTGGCTTGGTTTCCAGTTCACATTAGAACTCTTCTTAAAATGGTCCTTTGTTCCAGATCTGTGCCATTTCATGTTCTGATCTCCAATACCTTGAAGGAGCACGAGTGCCTTCTTTAATTTCTTCTGCTTGAACTCCTCAGTGAAATAACCTACAGTTTTAATTTAGGCAGCTGCTTTTATGATCGTGAAGTCGATGAACATCCCTAAGAAATAGTCCTAAAATGTGTTTGTCCTTTTTTTGGAAAGACTCTTCTCTGCTCAGTAGGTCTGGCTGTAGTGCTGAGGGCATAGGTCTGGGTGACAGAACCCTTATGTTGCCTTTTTTGCTCTGCCGCCGGCTGGTCTGTGGACTTCACACAAGGCTTCTGTGCTTGGACTCTTTGTAAAAGTAACGTGATGTGCAATTCCAGCATTACATTTTTTTATAGACAATTTAATGATTTTTTTTTTTTAAGAGATACCATGTGTCTGTTAAAAGCACATTCTCTCTACCATTAAACTTCTACTTGCCTGTGGTCTCTTAATGAGCTGTAGTTTGAGTCCTAGCTAATAGCATTTCTTTACCCTATAATTACTAATTGTATGTTGTCTTTAATTTTCTGTTTGCAGGAACCAGACCGCCTTCGCTTCCTTCATAATATCTTTTCCAAAATCTGTTTTCTCTTTCATGTTTTTTTGGATTCAAGTTGTAGTTTGGGTTTTTTAATCACTTTTGTAATCAGTGCCATGTTCCACGTCACCTACTTTATAGATACCAAAAGCAAAACATGGATGGTGTTTATTGCCTGATGTGTTTCCAGGACATAATGGTGGATATAATGAGGTGTTGCGTGTGTCTTACTGACTTTTTCAGTCTGATCTTTGACTCTTACAACTTGAACTTTCCCCTGTTTTTTCCCAGCTGCATCACACGTATTGAGGACAGCGTGATGATAGGTGGTGTCGTGATGATACAGTCCCTCCTGTATGAGCCCATGAGATTGAGGATATTTTTAGTTATTACCCTTTAAGCCAGGTTCTCAAATCACAAGTTACTTGAATTCAGCATGGTTTAGTGTCAGAGGGAGGCACCCTGGCTGTGTGGAACCCCACTTCGCAGGTGCCTTCAGGTTCATTATTTTGGAGGAGTGCAGAGTCCAAGCTGGCTCCCCGGTGCATCTGAACCGATGGTGCTCCAAACACCAAGCTCTCTCACTGAGAGTACCTTACTTTCAGTTCATCAGACTTACAGATATTTTCAACCAAAAAAACTCTGCGTGTATATATCAGGAGACATGAAATTTAATCTCCATTTTATGGAAGGCTACTTGCTCCAAATAAAGATGATCTCCTACTTCTCTTCCTTTGGTGATAACGAGTGCTAGAGGGAGGAGGGACTTGGCTAATGGCAGTTTTCATTATGGTGGTAATAATATTCTAGGAGAATTTTAGCTCTATATTACAGAAAATAATATATTGTAATTAGGATGTTCACACTTCAGAGTAGAATTCAGGTTCAACAGGGATTTCTCTTTCCACTTGCACTTAAAAACCCAGACAATATTAAGGCTTTCAGTGAGCTGTATCTTGTCTGAGAGAGTAATTCAGTTCTTCATAATAAACCCAAGACCTGGTCACGCAAAGAGCTGTTACAGAGTTGTTTTTCTTATGATTTTATATCAGAGGAATATTGCAGTTGGCTTCTAAGGAGAAACAGGGGTGAAAGGCAGGTGCCTGAAGTGTTTTGGTTGGTTGGTTGGGGTTTTTTTTTTTTTCTTTTGGAATAAGTGACTTCCTCTGTAAGATGTGCTAGCTGAGAAATAGTACCCAGTGAATGTGTGCATTTAGGGGTGAGACTCTGTATTGCTACATATAGAATAGAGCAACAATTTTAAATGTGTTCTTACAGGTTATGGCTTCTGTACAAACAGGATTAGAATTAAAGTTCCTTTTCCTCATTTTCTTTTCAGAGCCCTAAATCAACATAAGGTATTTTTTCCTTTCTATGCATAAGTAGCACCTGATAGAAAACATTCTCTTTCCTGCAGGTTGCTCTTAGCTTTTGTCCAGTTGTGACTGAGCTGCTGAGCTTCTGCTGTAGCTCTCGATCCATCCCCTACACTGCCAAAAAGGACTGTCCTGGTCACAGTTGGACCTTTCACATAACACTCATCTCATGACTTCCCCGAATTCCTGCTTTGAGGTAGCTGTGATTGAATACATCTCTTCTAGCTATCAAAACGGCCAGTGATGCAAAACCTCCTATAATTGTTTAGAACTTTTTCCACGGGTGGTAAACTCCGCTGTTAAGCTTTATTCCTAGGCTGATGTGCTTCAGCCCCTAACCACTGTGCCATTGCAGCACTCCCCTTTGCCCTGCTGTATTAAAAATAAAAAGCCTTCGGTTATCAACCACCTTTTTCACGTTGCAGGTATTTAGAAACATAAAATTCAGGAATAGAAGGGACCCTGTTGCTAAAATCACGTTTCTTCTTTTTGCAGGCAGCTCCATCCCATCTTCTGTTTATAGGCAAACCAAATTATGTCTTTAATTGGTGCCTTTTTGCTGCTGCTCTAGAAACTCACTGGAGGACCTTTTTCATCTCATGATTGAATATATGCACGACAGGACTTAGTTTTGCCCCTTGTGTGCGTTAATTTAGATAGTTCTGTGTTATCTGCCACCTTTATTTCTTGTTTCATTCATGAAAGACAGTCTTATCCCCTCTCGGTCTCACAAAACAAACGAGGTGAAGCATCTCGTTTCCTTTCACAAAACAGGAAGAGGAAAGGAAGAAGGAGGAATTTTCTCTGCCTGCTGCAGTCGGAGCTGACCTCCTGCGTGTGGGTGAGAAGACTTCAGCGCGGTGTTCAGTGAGGTGGTGCTGGGATGCTCTCTCTTTCCCAGAGGCCTCTTGTGGTCTGGTTTTACAGTTGTCTGTACCAGCCGTCCCACTCGTGTTCTTGCTGTGATTAGCTAATTTCACGACTAAAACTGGGTTTAAGGAGATCAGGGTGTGGGCTAGGTTCTGTGAAACTGCCTGCAGTGTCTGTGGTGCTAGGTCAGTAGCGAGCCTTGTGGTTCCTCCCAAGTTCCTATAAAATAAAATTTCTGAGCAATTAACCTAGAGTCGGCATTGTGGCAGTGAGCATTAGCCTGGGTGCAGAGGCACCGTGGCTGTGCTTGTGTTTAGGACTCCCGTGTTTAAATACTGAAGCAAAGCTCAGTTCTGGATCTGCTCCCAGCCAGAGGCCAGGCTGGCTTAGTGATGCTCAGGTTGTCCGGAATTGCTGCGTCCCGGGATAATGTTACATACCATCTTCTTTTTTGCTTGTTTGTGGCTTAAGGTGGATTCAGCAATGTATTTATTGGGTGATTAAATCACTATTAATTTTGTCCTACTATTTTGTCAGCTGCAGAGTTAGTAATGACTTGTTCTTTGTCCACATAAAAGTACTCAGCAATGCCAGGCTAAGGAGCCGTCACTTTGGCTCTCTAGGAAATACTTAAACAACAATTGCCTTTCTAATGTGTATTTTGAGACGTGTCTTTTACCTAATCATGTGCCTTGCTGATTTTATGTTAAGCTGGTTTCATTATTAAAATTGCATGCATCAAGCAGGGCGAAATGACTGTCAGAAGGCTGCGTGTATCAACAAAGGTGCTTCTGTCACTCTGACTTCTCATACAGTTGAGTTTGTTACTATACGCTATTAATTGACATTAAATTTTCTAGTTCTGGCAGCCATTCAGTTACTTCATTTCAAACGTGTGCAGCACTGGTCAGTATGTAACTGAACAGCCTACTCGAATTTCACAGTGGCATGCTGTTAGAGGAGCTTGGGGGATCGCTCTGGTTTTCTCAAACTACCTGATTTAAAACTAAATTTAGTGAGAGTCTGGAATGTATGTTCAGAGTTACTGAAGACTTCCTTCATTGCTGGTGGGTTACCAGAGGTGAATGCTGTCAAATGACACAACGTATTTGTGATGGAAAAAATACCATACATTTTTGAGAAATTTTGTTTATAGATAGGATTACCAGGGAGTTTTGTAATGCTGCTTTTCTCCAGCTCAGTATTCCTCCCAGTTCTGAGCCAAGGTTTGGGGTACAGCTTGCTAAATATGAGTCTGTGTGCAGCTTGAGCTGGATGAGATCCAGGTTTTTCTTTTCTCCTTCCTTGGCCCTCCCTCACCTTTTCCTTCTCAAAAGCCAACCCTCCTTCCCCCTCCACCCTTGGATGTGTCAGTCTTTGCGCGGACACTGTGCTTGGGAAACATCCTTTGATTATTAATACAGAAACTCCCAAGCAGTACACTTGAGGGGTGTTTTGAGTGTATTTTCATTTTGAACAGCAGGCTTTTAACAAAAGCTAGCAGAAAGCATCATTAACATGCCTTTCACACTTGGAGAATGTGAAACACTTTTATGGGCTGTCACATACATCACATACATACACACATATATATCTCCTGTATCATTTATCTGTAAGTGTGTATATGTAAATGGGGGAAAGCTAAAGCTGTGTGAAGAATCTATTTGCCTTTTTTTGCAGTTTGCTTTTGCAGTTTAAATACAGCTTTGCCTTCAGCTTTCTTCAGCAACAGGAATACTGTGCAACCTGGTTATAAAAAGAAACTGGAGATTTTTTTTTTTTTTTTTTAACAGCTTCTCCTAATATCTGTGTAGAGATTTCTCTGCAAGCTCTCCCTAGCCCGAGGAGGAACTGCTGCGCTGAGAAAGCTTATCGTTTAGTGGTGTGGTGCTGCATGTAATGGGGATATGCTTAGCTAGATAAAATAGCTTCTCATTGACTTGAGCAAAAAATATTTTAATGGCAAAGGCACGCAAGATTCATCTCACTGTTTTTGTGGGTCGTTCCAGGTAAAAGCCTCCTGTGTGTGTTTTGGTGAAAGCTTTTTGGATGACCTACAGCTGACTCAGTACAACGTTCCCCCGCTCCCTCATTTGCATTCCCACTGAAAAGTGCTCTCTGTTGCACGGCGCTCGGAAGGCTTCGAGGCAAAGCTGGATCGCTTACGAGTGCTGAGCATGCACAATACCTCTCGTATTAAAACTTGACACCTATTTATTTGATTAAAAGCTTAATAATCTCTCAAGGGCTTCTGGTTCCAAGCGTAAGATTGACAATCTAAGGCCCTGTTTTCTGTCCAGAAGTGGAATAGGATGGCTAAAGCTAGATGCAGACCTAGTTGGATTTTTTTTTTTTTTTTTTTTGTTCCCTTAAAGCACTTTATTTTGTGAAATGTGTGTTAACACAAAAAACTTGTGTTTTATCCTCAGCACCTAGCAGCAGTGGAAGAAAGAAAGATCAAGTCCCTGGTCGCCCTTCTGGTGGAAACACAGATGAAGAAGCTGGAAATAAAACTCCGCCATTTTGAGGAGTTGGAAACCATTATGGACAGAGAGAAAGAGGCAGTAAGTAGGGATTCTGGAGTAAATCACTCACTGCCAAGATCTGTGTACGCTAATGGCTGGAGAGCTAGCAGCTTTTTAGCTGTTTGTCACCTTTCTGCAGGCCTTTCTTCTTCAGCTAGAATTCAGAGCTACCAACTACAGTAGCACTGGAACCCTCTTCTCCTTTACCTGGCATCTTCTCTTTACCATAAGCAGCAAACTGGCGGTATCCTGGATTTGCTTCCTAATCCTTACTCCAGTCACCTGAGCGTGGACGTGGAGCTGGTCCTGAGCCTTTATGTAGACCTTAGCACATGGCTGGTACCTGCCATACAAATGGCTTTTCGCTGTAAAGAGAGTGAAATGGGTGGAAGCCTTGGGTCCCTAGGGGACGGGGAACCAGCTCTGCCTTGCCTTCCTGACCCAGTGCAGACGGGAGGTTGGGTTTGAAGCGTGCAGTCCGGGTTTTGTTTGGCCAGCGTTCTCGGGAGGGGCGAGTCCTCAGCGTGAGATGCGGTGTCAGAAGGGTGCGTGCTCAGGAGTAACAGCTTCTCGTTTTGTGATGATGATGATGATGGGTTTGCCTCGACTGGAGAGGGCAAGAGCAGGCTCAAGGGAAGGGAGGGAAGCAGGGATGTCTGGAGAGGGGAGAAGGCGGTCGCTCGTAGGGACCAGAAAATTATCAGAATAGAACAAAGCTGAATGGAGAGATCTAACGACGAAGTGCGACTGATGATGAGGAGAAGGAGCGGAGCGAGCTAAGGAAGAAGGTTGTTGTCTTCTGTCCTCGGTGTGGGGAGGCTGTGGGCCAGGACACAGGTCCTGACTGAGGTCTGGCCAGCCGAAGAAGGTCGTGACAGTAAGGGAACAGGTACTGCTGTGCATCCCGGGCCGGGCTGTGTTTATATTGTAAGCACCTCACTGGAGGCTTGTGTATCCCTCAGATCAGGTGCTGTCTCTGCCTGTCGGTGCCTGGATGACACAGCAGTTACTAACTGTTCCTTCACATAGAGTGCAGCATACTTTAAGAAGCGGTTGCTCTCCAGCTATTGTAAAGATGACCCAAAACTTCATTTTTATCAGAGAGCAGTCAATTTTTCTTATTTTTCTGTTGCGTAGCTTGCTCGTTTTTGTCAATAAGCCATTACCTTAGCTGCGTTGAAAATATTGGCTCATAATTCTAGGGGTTTTCACATTTGCCCTACCATGTGAATTTAATGGAATTTACATCCTCACTTTGGCATTAATCACATTGATAGAGTTTGACAAACTGTGGTCTTTCGTTCTAGCAGAATGTCAGCAAGAATTTCTCGATTGCTCAGCATCCTCAACCATTTCGCTGTGGTGTTTGCCTCTGACACTGATTGGCAGCTCAAGAAATGGACCTAACTATTTTGAAAAGCTTCTCTGTAGGTTTCTTTCTTTGGGGGTTATATTCTATTAGTGACAGGGGCTTTTTTCCATTTTGAGAAGCATATGACATTTTCCTTTTTTAAAATGTGCATACAAATTTTTCTCTTGGCTTCCTGGTAGTTAAATTTGGTCGTTTCAGCTGTCATTGTGGATATTTAGTGGAATAATTAAAGCAAAAAAAAATTCCTTGGTGTCGTTGCACACTATTCATATTTCCTTATCTGCTGCACTGGCTTTTTCTTCTAGTAAATGTGAGGCGAGTCTAAGTGCTGAAAGAAATCTGTGCTGCAGACTGGAGGGTGTGAGATTTTAGGCAAAACACATTTACTTCAGGGTTTAAGCTAAAGTCATTTTGGTGCTGCCAACTCGGCTTGTGTGCAACCAGGGACCCTATCGGTAGGAGCCTTGTTGACCCAGAATTTACAGTAGCACGTGAATGCTTTCTTTGCTGTTTCTGTTTAGGGAGGGGTTACTTGTGGAAGGTGAAATTGTAGCACAGGGATGGTTATTGTATGGGTATACACGAAGTGCTTGTAGTGGTCCCTTCCAATTGTGAATCACTTTGCAGCAGTGCAGAAACACGCTCTTGCAAATTTGAAGATCGCCAAGAGCGTAGGATTCATGACTGTGTGCCTAAAAATTCGGCTGGTTTCATAAATTGGGTTTTGTAGGAAGATTGTTTGGCAAACTGATGCATGCTGATCTTTGTTGAGGGGCCTGACACCTGCTGCAGGTGTAACTGAGTGTTGAGAGTTGGAGAGCAAATGCAAGTAACTGATAGATCGCCCACCAGAAAATGGGTTACTACCAGTTGTCTTAATGCTAATCTAGGGGCACAGCTGCAGGCTGTGGCTGCAACTCTGCCTCTGAAATCACCACAGCAGATGTAAGAACCTAGTAGAGAACCAGGTGTTTTGGGTTCTGCACCAGTTTTAAGACCAGCTCGTGTTATAACTTGTATTTATGTGCCTTTTTGCTCTAACTGCCTTTTCCTCCTCCTGAGGGGAGAGAGTGTGTAGAAGGAAAGTTTTTGCTGGCTTCCCTAAGTACGAGTTGTATTTTCAGGCACTGGATGCTGTTTGGGGATACTTGTAAGGACTTACCTTTTTTTTTTTTTTTAAACTGTAGCAGGATAGGGTACCATGAAGAGAGCAAAGCAGGAGTACAAAAGAGTATAAAAGGAATATCTAAAGTATGGTGTAGCCGTACATCTTGCCCGAGCCTTTGTCCCGGATCACTTGCCGTAATTCTTCTCTTGAACTGCCTGCCACCTACTGAATGTGTTTCCACACATGCACAATTACACCATTGGTGTACGTGCCTCTTCATTTTATCAAGTTCTTCCCGCTAACCTATCGGATTGGTCAAGGAGAAAGGAGTCACGGCAGCGTGAATAATCACATTGTCGTCCCGACATGCAGAAAACCAGCCCCCAACAAGGAGCATGTATTATTCATGAGGCTCTGTCCCCATCTGGTTCTGCTGGTGAATGTGTGCTCTGTGGTAGTCTATTTTCATCCACGCTTTGTCAGCAGTCAAACTGCTAACACCAAGTATTGATGGAGCTTTGGGAGTTTTGGAGAACTTCTGCTAGGTGGAAGTCTCCTTGGCAACCTGCTTTTCGGATGAATTATGGAGTGTATCTTAAAACACTCATTAAATATTTGTAAACTAGTCACACAAATCCATGTGTCCGATGGCTTAGAAGTAGTAGATGTAGACGTGTGTTGTTATTTCTTAAAGAAGTCAGGCAACATATGCTTCCTTAACTAGGACAGCAGTCAATCATATAAATGCCCAAGAGTAAGAACCATTTTCTTTAGCTTTTTCTCTTTTGGTTTTGGGCTTGCTTACTCTCTACGTGGCTTCGTAGTTAAACAAAGGAGCCTGTCTTATGTTAATTGGCCTAAATTACATGAGGTTTTTTACATAATATTCTTCTTAACAGTGCAGATTATTGCTGTCTGGCTGTCATGATGTCCAAGTCCTACACTTAAATAAAGGTACAGAGTAGGATCCTGCCTGTAACCACTGAGCTCGTACTATTGCACACATATCTTGCTTTAGTCTTGCCCTAGAAAATCTCTTTGGTTTCCTGTTCCCCCTCATTCCAACATGCAGAAGATTGAGAGAAAAACATACAGTTTCTTCTAGAATCGTGTTAAGTCTGAATGCTCTGCACAGTACTCACTGAGTGTTGTGTTGTATTACCGAGAGATTCTTTAGGACAAAACAAGGTGAGTCCGTCTGTTCCAGCTGGAAAATGGCCTGGACCCTTTCCTGAAACCTGCTGCAAATCAGACAGTTGCGTATCGATAGGGTAGGTGTTTGATTTGCAGAAACATCATTTAAATGTATAGTTCTTAATGTCACTTTGCTTTTTCCCCCCCTATTTTTGACGTAGTTAGAGCAGCAGAGACAACAGTTGCTGACAGAACGCCAGAATTTTCACATGGAACAGCTGAAATACGCGGAATTAAGGGCTCGTCAGCAAATGGAGCAGCAGCACAGTCAAAACCCCCAGCAGTCACACCAGCACTCCAGTGGGCCTGGGATGAACCCCCTTGGGGCACCAGCACATCCAGGCTTACTGCCTCATCAGCAGCCTCCGCCGTACCCTATGATGCACCACCAGATGCCACCACCTCACCCACCACAGCCAGGTAAGAGCTGGAAGGAGAGAAGCCCCGTACGTTAACCCCCACTCAGAACAGATTAAAATCAGAGGAAGAGTTACTGCCAGGTGAAATTGCACAGGGTGTAACGGAGGTACCTGTGTTAAGTACGGGTTTATAATGGTGCTGCTTATAAAGCAGAAACCATTTGTTAGAAAGATGAGCTTTGCTTGTACTGCAGCTTCGTTTTACAGCATTTGCCTCTGTACCAGCTGTGCGGATGCAGTTTGGGGAGGGCAGTGTCTTACCAATGTGTATGGATACCCAAAAGGGGGGAGTGAAGGAGAGCTCCAGACTCTTCCCAGTAGCACCTAGTGACAAGGCAAGAGGCAGTGGGCACCAATTAAAACATGGGAAATTCCATCTGGACGCAAAAAATAATTATTTTTTTTTTTTCCCTCCTCCTGTGAGGGTCACCAAACCCTGGAGGAGGTTGCCCAGCAAGGCTGTGGAGTCTCCCTCCTTGCAGACAGTCGTGCCAAGCTCTAAAGTGAAAAATGGAGCTGCCACTAAATACCATTTTTGCCTGGTTTTAGCTTGTTTGTAGACTTTTTTTTTTATGCCCAGTGATCTCTACTCCTTCAAAAACAGTCATTCCCTCAAATTCTCCAGTTTGTGACATGCCTCACTGTATTAAAAAAAACATAAGGGAATGGACGGGGACGAGGAGCAGAGGCAGGAAGCTCCTTAAGCAGTTTCCTTTGGCAGGACACCCGGCTGTGATGGGCTCCTGCGCCCTACTCGGGGCTCTGCTTTCTGGTTCCTGCCCTTCACTTGCACTTGGTGCCAGGGGAGAGTTGCAGAGCTGTGTTGGTTAGAAAGGTTGCTTGAAACCCGTCGGGGCAAGGCCAGCTGGGTCAGGTTACTTGTCCTCTGGAGGTTTGGATATCTGCAAGGGTGGAGATACTCCTTGTACCAAAGGATGGAGAGATGAAGCGGTGATGTGACTCTGCTTCACTCCGGGAGGAGGAACGTCCACTGGGCATAAGAAACTAAGAAACTATTACTGCCATTAATTCAGAACACCTATTTTTGCTTAATGGCAAAACTAACAGCCCTACTGTTAAGTAACCAAGTTGCTAACAGTATTTGCAGTCTCACCTTTAAACCATTTTACTGTTAAAAGGGATTGGGACTACCAAATGTTGTACTTGTGCTGTGAAGATGCTTATGGGAATTGGAATTGAAGACTTCACTACACTTGCTAAATGTTGTTGAAATGATAATTTGAAATAGAATAGCACCACTTGGCGTGTAGTAACCTAATTGTCTGACTAGACTGCAGCCAAGGAGAGCAGCTTTTGTCCATTTTCAGCTGCTTGACCAAAAACTGTTCTAAAAACACCTCATCGGTTATTAGCTGAAAATATTTCGCGAGATTTTGCATAGGCTGCTGCTGAAGAAGCTGAAAGGTGTGGGGTATCATGATCAAAAATAGGACCTGGCAACAAAAAGCCTGCAGGAGCTTGAGTTTTCCATCTTGGGAAAAGACCTACGTTAAGTGTATGGTTTGGAAAAGAGAAGTGCATGGTAAACTAGCGGGATTCACAGAACACCACGGGAGTGTGACGCATCTAATCCAACCACATCAATCTCCACAGTCATAAAACTTAATCAACAGATGCAGAGTAACACTCATTGGAGGGGAAGGTAAGAGTCAGTTGTTTTGTATTCTAGGTGCTTAAGCCAACTGTCTTTTTAGGACGTCCGAGTCCGTGAGTTCCTGGGTTCGTTAGGCACTTGTGCACAAAAAGTTAATGCTGATAGTGTTTTGGGTGCTGTTTTCGGGGTTTTTTGCTGAAATTAAATTGAGAGTGTGATGATATATGGTCTGCTCTTTATTTTCAAATAATATTGTAGCTCAATTTGTCTATTATATGCTGTATTGACAACTCAGGACTACTCACTTAGCAGTAGACTGGAGAGGCATTCTGTGAAATGGAAAAATGGCAAATTGAAAACAGATGAAAGAGGGGAATCATTGCATATCATTAGACTAGCTCTTACTTACAAGCTGCTATTGAGACTGAAAATGTAACAAGATTAAATGTATTGTTGTATTCACTAGGGGACTAATAAAACTTGATTTCTAATATATTCACATCCTTGGTTCACGTAATACCTTATTACTTCAGCCCCATCATAATCATCCAGGCCCTCCATATCCCCAGTGAACCCTTTCAGTGTGATTTGTAGGGAGTGTGGTACTGTGTTAATTAGTCAGTACGTCTCTCTTCAAATTTGATTAAAGTTAGTCAATAGATTGACTTCTCCACCCCCCTCCCCTCCTGTTAGAGGGCAGGAAGCTGATGGATGAGGCACGGCGGTTCTGGCTCCCGCAGCAGCGAGGCATCTGCTGCTCTCTCATGCCATGCAGATCCAGGACTGGGATCTTCCTTTTACCTGGTCTGGCAGTTTGCTGGTTTGATGTTTTGGGGAAGGTGAGAATTCAGAGGCCCTTTGAGAGTTTGAAGGCAAACCCCTCTGCTGCTTCTACCATATCCCAACTGATCTTGCTTAGAAGGAGAAATAGTGGCTCTTCCTCAGGCTCTTCCGTGGAAGTTTGTTAGAAATTCTTGGGAAGTCCATAAGCGCCAAAGCTCTTTGGCTTCGCAGTGGGCTTTTGTGTAACTTGAGGGCAAGGAGAGAAAATGGAAAAGTTCAGTTTCCTTGAGTGAGTTCAGCACTTCAACTCTGAGCCAGTCCTGGGGGTGTGTATGTATGTGTAAATAGTAATTTAGGAATCCCTCAGTCCCCAGAGACAGTGACTCACAAGTTGACCTCATTTTCTGTTTAGGTAGTTTAAGATGCCCAGAGTTTGACTTTCCTCAACAAATCAGTGCATTGTCGCAGGGCGAATCTCTGCTGGAAATGCTCTGTTGTATGCAGCAGTCGCCAGAAATCTTACTGACAGGCTGAAGTGGTCAGCAGTTGCATTTGGTGTACACATGCACCATGTATTATAGATGTTAAAAAATAATCCCTTATCACGTCGGTTGTGTTGAATCTGTGGTAAATACTCTAAAACTTCTGTTGTATCCTACATATTTTCCTTACTTTCACATTTTTAGGGCAATTGTGGTGTATTAATTGGACTTGTGAGTCTTGGAGTCTTAATAGTCCAGTGCTTTCATGACAGACCTGTACATACGTAGATCAGTAGCAATTTTTGCTGCCTAGTTGTTGATTTGGGATCCTTTGAAATAAACTGGTGGTCTTCACCTTAATGACCACAAACTCTTAAGTTCCCTCTCTGCGTGTCTGCCCGTGAGTCTCCTGCAGTCCGGGTGGAGAGCCCAAAATTTGGAGCCTGTGGGCAGATGAATTTCACCCTGCTAGAGAGGGGCTGAGATACACTTGCAGAAGAAATCTGGAAGCTCATTTGGCTGCTCTTCGTCCTGTAGGTGAACCTCTGGCCTCAGAGCTGTTGTAGCGCTTCCCAGAGCGGAGCTTGGCGTGCTTTGGTAAGAAGAAATAGCAGTTTCCTTCCCCGAGTTCTCAGCTTCTCTCCAATAACAACTTGCTCTCCCTAAGGTGGCCGGTTTCAAGACACCTCGGTGATGAATGCCGCGGTGTGTTTCTTCATTCGGGTATAAAGATGTTATTGGAGACTTAGGCGAGTCGCTGCCTGCTGCTCTAACAGCTCTGCAGGAAGAGCTGACCCATTCAGTTTGCGTTAGGGGAAAAAGCCCGAAACAGCTTAGCAGTAACTGAGAAGCACCAGTGGGCAACCTTCCAAACAGCCTCGAGGGGAAGCTGGAGATGGAAATACCCTGCACAATTTCCTGTTCAGCTGCGTGGTTTTAACTCCAGACTTTACCTTGGTGCTCACTGATGTTTTCAAACAGATTTCTGACCTTAATAGTGACTGAAAGTGTAACTGTTGGTTCAGTAGACCGTGAACAAAACGCTAAGTCGGGTGTCTTTCAAGTGATTGACGAAAGCTGAAGAGATGATAGGAAACAAAGTGATGAAAGGATCTGAAAAGGCATTTATAAATAGAATAAAAAAAAAAATAATAATCCTGCTTACAGCTTTTCTGGATTCAGAGGCAGAAGCAGCTAAGCCAGATCTCTTAACTAAATGTTAACAGTGAAGCTTTATCCAGAAAAATGCTGTTTCTCTGGAAGCAGCTGGTGAACATCTCCAGTCGCGGGCCGGTCTTTGCAGCGAGCTGCTTTTCATCACCGTGGGCCCGTCGGGTTCTGCTGGGCCGTAGAATTCCTTGGGATGTGCTGAAGAGCTGAAATCAGGCCCAAGGCCGGTGCTCACAGGCAGGTTTGGTGAAAGAGAAACCAAGAGGGGCCAGGAGAGCTCCTCCAGAGAGGAGGGCTGCTGGGGAATTCCACGTAAAGCCGAAATTTTACAGCAGACAGTGTTCACCACCCAGCCAGAGCGGCTTCTCGGCAGCTTTTGCCGCTTCTCCCAGGGCTTTTCTTTCTGGGCCGGGGTTAGCTGTCTTTTCGCTAGTCACAGCAAGCAGCATGGCTTGGTGGTTAAAGCTTTGAGCTTAAAAATTTGAAGTAAGACCCTGTTACCCGTTTGTTGTGCCACGTGGTTTAGCTCGACGCCCGCTGCCCCAGCGCGAGCCGGGTTTGGCTGCCGTCGGCGCGTCCGTCGGTGCCTGGCTCCTCGCCCCGATGTGGTACCAGGGGATGTTGCTGTTCTTGGGCGCGGGCACCGATTTCAGACAAGTCCCATTCCTGGTTCCTTTCCCACGTTTTTTTCTTTTTAACTTAATTTTGACTGAGCTTATTTTGTTCTCTCCTTTCCCCTGGCGTGAAGGCTTTTAAAACAGAAAAATAAAATGGGATTCCAATTTCACTGTGAAAAGCTGTACCTTGTAATTATAACAGAAAACAAAATTCCCAGTTTCTTCCTGTGTTACCAGCCTTTGCTGCTGGTTGTATAATTTGAAGCACATTATTGATTTCTCTCTGTGCACTGTTCTGGTTATCTGTGAGATGAGAAGTGCCTCGTACTAGTGA